CCTGATGTACATCTTCCCTCACCCCTACTTCCCTGGCAGGGAGGGCATTGCATTTTGGGCTCCCCCCTCTGCTGCCCTGAGTCAGCTCTGCATTTTGTTATGCTTTTTTAAAGCCAAAAAATGCATCAGAACATTTGGGAAGTAGAAAAACTAGTGGGTAACTACCATAAGTTCCAATTTGCACATTAGTCTCAAAGGTGCTGATCAGGTTAGCTCAAAACAGAACTTGGAAAGATCTGATTCTCCATGCATTCCTATTTAAAACAAATCACCCAAGAATATAGTAGCGTTGTGCTAAAAACATATCCCCCCCACAACTATTTCCCACCAATTAATGCGAAAAGGAATTGCATTCGAAGATGATCAGATAGAAAATTTCAGTGGCATTCTTACAGGTGAGAATGGCCCTTAATTTACTTTTGAGGTGGCTAAAGTTGCTTGTGTCCTTTATTTCATTCTACAAAGCACACTTCCAGTGGTCTGCATGCTTCAGCCCTCCCCAGTGCCCATGATTCAATACAATCCTAGTGGAAGACATATTAATATAACTCCTCCCAGGGGGCTTTTTTCAGATCAGGAAGTGCAGCTAATCAGAGAGACTGCAGAATCCACTCTTAAGCAGAGCCGTCTCTGCCACTGGGCAAACAGAGGCAGCTGCCTCAGGTGGCAGAAGCTCCAAAGGTGGCAGTCCCACAGCCCCCCCCGCCTGCCCCTCTGGCAACACAGAAGTGCTGCAAGTGTCTTGTGAGTGCACAAGATCTCACTTGATTTCGGTGAGATTTCACCCAAATCAGCATGCGCCACCCCTGCCTCCGAGGGATCTTGATGGTTAACTTGCAATCTTATGTCCATCTACTCAGAAAACACTGAGTTCAGCAGGACTTACTCCTGCAGAAGTTCAGGATTGCAGGCTAAGTGCAGATTTGAACTTGGTCTTCATCTAACCCTTGACATATTGAATAATTTATTCAACAATACTGCTGTGACGGAAATGCTCAGTGTAATAATAAGTATTATTTGCCACTGTGGGTCACATCTATTATACTGCCATGCAGACATGTTGTGGTTTCGTTGATGTTTATCAGCACATTAGACTTGTAGATGGATTTTTGCATAAAGCCAGCCGGAGAGTTTCATGAACTTAACTTGAACTTGAATCTGCACTCCTTTAACAGCAGCGATAGGCCTCCTAATTAACTATTACGAAGCTACAATGAAGTTAAATCCTCAAATGCGCCCCATGAAACTTTCAGTAAATTGGTGAATTCCTTTTTCAAGAAACAAGGTGGATCTATTTATTTCTTGAATTCCGTGAAAACAACAGATTTTGTTTTAAGAGGAATATTAAGGGAGCAATCCTAAGCGCGGAGAAAGCAGCATGATATATGCGGTCTTAAATTGACATAAAGCATGCCAGATCCCAACTCCATTTGGGGGCGGGACTACAGCTGAGTCCGCCTAAGCCTGGCAGAAGGGAAGCAAGCCTTGACAATGGAGTTTGACTTATATCACCCTTTTTGGCAGCGGAAGCTCCTCCAGGTTGACAGGTCATGTGACTGAGCTGAAGGGAGTTAGGGTCCAACATATGCCCTGCCCTGCTTCACTCCCCCAGAATGCCCACATTTCAAGGCTTATGCCAGTGAATGGTCTGCCAGTCGCTGTCTGAGCTGGGTTTGGAGACTTATGCTGGCATAACCCAGCTCAGCTGGGAACCTGCTGGATGAGTGAGAGATCCACCTCATCCTAATTTGCTTGTTCAGAAGACCAAAAATAAAATATATGTTATGTAGCAAAACTAATATGGTTAAATAAATAAATGACAATTCAACACTGCCAGATGACCAACTTGGGCTTCACAGGTACCCCCTCCCCCCAATTTCTCTTGGGCTTCAATGCCAATTCTCTTTCTCTGCAGGTTATTCTAATACTACGAATCACCAGTTTGCTATCCATTACTTTGAACATGGGTTGTTCTTGTACGATCTTGGAGATCTTCATTTGCTCTGGGCTTCTCTGATGGAAGGACGTGCAGACGCATCGTCTTTATAGGTCATGACTCACGCAAGGACAATTGCATTGTGTGATTTCTGTTGCAGCTGAATTATGGATTGAATGTACAGATTCATTAATAGAAATGAGAGAGGAAAGTAGGCCAGAGCTGCAACCAACAGATTTGACTAACAAAAGTTGTAAGCCACCCTGAACTTATTGGATAGGGTGGAGTCCAAATTCAGTAAGGCATGTCTGACAAAGCTTTGTGTGTAGCTTGCGTCAGGGAGTGAACCTGGATTGATTTGAGTGCCTGTGTCTTGCAACTAGTTCTTAAATTCTATAGGAACTTAAATTGCATAGGAACTTCCCTCTCCTGCCTCTGTACTGCTAAGATTATTTATTATTTACTATTATCATTATATTTATTTTAATCCCATGCTGGACTAGATGGGCTACGGGCAGCAAGGCTTTCCCTCTCTTCTTGTGTGCTTTGCTCAGTGCTGTTCTTGGCTTGTTTACAAAGCTATTGGACCAAACTTACTGTATGCTTGTGAACCACGGACCACTTATAAACGCCATCTCCAACTCCTCAAAAGATTCCGTCAATGGAGTCTCTGAAAAAATTTACACATCACTTGCGAAGACAGGCAAACTAGTGTACCGGAAGAAGCAAAGATCACCAGTGTCAAAGCAATGATTTTTCAACATCCACTTCGTTGGACTGGTCATGTTGTGCGGATGCCTGATGATCGTCTTCCAAAGCAACTACTCTATTCTGAACTTAAAAATGGAAAGCGTAATGCTGGTGGTCAACAAAGGAGGTTTAAAGACTCTCTCAATGCAAATCTAAAAAAAAAAAAAAAGTAATATAAACACTGACTACTGAGAAACACTGGTCTGCGAGCGCTCCAATTGGAGAACAGCTTTTACCAAAGGCGTCATGGGCTTTGAAGAGACTCGAACTCAGGACGCAAGGGAGAAACGTGCTAAGAGGAAGGCACACTTGGCAAACCCTCACCATGATCAACTCCCACTCGGAAACCTATGTCCCCACTGTGGAAGGACGTGTAGATCCAGAACCGGCCTCCTCAGTCACTTACGGACTCACTGTTAAAACCGTGTTTATGGAAGACAATCTTACTCAGCTACGAGTGATTGCCAAAGAAGAAGAAAGCTGTTCTTGGTGGAAGCATGGAATTAAAAGGAAGCAAACCATGAAAGGGACGAAGGGGAAAAGGAACCAGCACCCGTCGGTGACCACACATTTGATCACAAAGAAGCCTCCTTATGGCGGCTGCCGCCACAGCCACCCCAAGGCTAATAAAAGAGAAGTTTGCTCTGCTGCAGGGCTGGATACCGAGAACCGAAAAAGCACAGGGAAAAGGGCCAGATTCCTTGGCGTTCCCTCCAGGAGAAGCCTGCGCAGCTGGTGGGGAAGGGGCCACCGAGTTCCTTTGAAGGCAGCCTGCTTGTCATTCCTCTGTCGCTCTCGCCCAGACGCCAGCTGCTCTGGATCAGAGCTGCAGGGCTTGTGGGATGGCACCCGCCCACCCAAAATCAATAGCAGAAGCCGGTGGCTGACTCCTCTTCCAGAAATCAATAGGAAGTTCAGGAGAAATGCCAAAGTCATTTGAAAGCTCAAAGCCAGGAGACGAGCCAAGGGCAAAGCCATCTGCGGCCATTCCAGTCTGTAGCTCCTGCTGCTTCTCTTCACCTATGTCTTCTCATGGCGATGCTTTCGGCAAGCACCTGTGAAGCCTCTTCTTTAGCTCAGTGTTTTATTAAACCTTAACATATTTACATATAAATTCCAGATTTCAGGTTTGTTACACATTCCTCTTTAAACTTTGACCTTCCACCTTTCCCCCCATGCTGTTCTTAATCCCAGCCCATTTACATGCTGCGTTCTAATAAACATTTCACCTAGGGACAAAGAATAATAATCATTATTTGCATCAGCTACTAGCCATAGCAATAAAATAAAATAAAATGTACTGAAGATAGAGGTGAAAACTTAACTATACAAAATACATTCTGGAGGTTCACATCAATAATCAAATAATCTAATTCTAGGTCTTATTCTAATTGCCCCTGCTAAAAATTATTCTATTTCAAATATTATCATTTTTCTTCCGATGCTAATAGTTCAAATCCTGCTCGCAATTTCATCTGATTTTAATATTTTTTCAGATATTCCAAAAGGGCTTCCATTCTTTCATGAATAGTCCGTCATGTTGGTTTCTGATTTTTGTGGTTAGTTTCACCAGTTCCACATAGTTCATTAGCTTTAAAGTCCTTTCTTCCTTTGTTGGCGTTTTGTCTTATTTCCATCTCGACAAACAGCCCAGAAGTAGCACAAAGTATAGCTGTATATATGGTCATGATGCAGGTCCCCCCCCTTCAGCCTAAGGGCCACATTCATTTTGGGAAGCTACATGGGGGCTGCATGCCAGTAGTGGTCAGGGGCAATGAATGTAAATCTTACCTTTTTATACTCCACACCCACTCACAGACTCCTCTGTTTGGAGCAGTGGCATTTCAGAGCGTCCCATTTCTCTGCATGAGGCGAAGAAGGTGCCATCTTATCCTGCTGCTGCCACCCCCCCTGTTATGTACTGAAGTTCTCACCCTGGGCCAGCAGGGGGATACTGTAGATAGTTTTCACTCAGGTCCACATATGGAAATAAGGGATTGAAAGTAAAATTCAGTGATTGGATAGTTACAGAAAGTGGTTACTGTTGCGTTGTAGTGGAGCTCTATATAAGCAGGCTGGCTGAACCCTTCAGTTCAGTTCTGTTCTGGCCTGTGAATAAACAAGAGCTGTTTGAAGAATCGCTGTGTCGTCTGATATGTTCACCCACAACTTAACACCCCCCACTTCCCACAAAGCCTCCCATGCCTGGGTTGCGTGACAGAAAAGAAGCAGTGACAGCGGTGGCTTCTGGCAAGATCTTGTGACATTTCGCTGAGATCTTCCAGGAAACTGCCCCTTCACTGCTAGTGGTGGGGTGGGCAGAACACCTGTGAGGGTGCCGCCCCTTGGGCTTCTCTGCCCGAGGCAGCTGCCTTAGCACGCCTCATGAGCAGGCCGGCCCTGCCTTCTCTTCCCTATCCTCCATCCAGACAAGGCCGAGTTCAAGGACACATTCCAGGCAGGCAAAATCACTTGAGGAGGATGTGAAGCAAGGCATGTGAAAGGTGTGGCCAGGAGAAAGAAGATGTGGCTGTGGGGTATCTATATTGCCTAGGGCAGGCATGTACAAAGTCGGTTTCGGGGGCGTAATCCGGCACCTGTGGCAGTTTATTTCCTGGAGTAAAACCCTTACCTTTCCTGCCCCGACCTGGCCACAGTGATCCATGCGACGGTCACCTCCAGGCTTGACTACTATAATTTGCCCTACGCAGGGCTGCCCTTGAAGCTGTCCCAGAAACTCCAGCGGGTGCAGAATACTGCAGCGAGACTCCTCACTGGGTCTCTGCCATGGGAGCATATTCACCCAGTGCTTTTCCAGCTGCACTGGCTCCCAGTGGAGTACAGGGTCAGATTTAAGGTGCTGGTTTTGACCTTTAAAGCCCTTCATGGCCTAGGAGCCTCGTACCTACGGGACCGCCTCTCCCGGTATGCCCCACGGAGAGCCTCAAGGTCCATAAATAGCAACACCCTAGTGGTCCCGGGCCCTAAGGAAGTTAGATTGGCTTCAACCAGAGCCAGGGCCTTTTCAACTCTGGCTCTGGCCTGGTGGAACGCTGTGCCTCATGAGACCAGGGCCCTGCAGGATCTGATTTCTTTCCGCAGGGCCTGTAAGACAGAGTTGTTCCGCCTGGCCTTTGGCTTGGAGCCAATTTGATTCCCTCCCCCTCTTTCTTTTTTCTGCATTTTAATATTTTAATGTTTCAATATTTTAATGTTGCATTTTAATCTTGTTTTTAAGTTGTATTCATTCAACTTGTTTTTATTATTGCTTGTTAGCTGCCCTGAGCCCGGCCTTGGCTGGGGAGGGCGGGGTATAAATAAAGATTATTATTATTATTGTAATAAAAAAAGCAACTTTGGTTGGCCCTTTGGTCGGCCCTCACATATGTTCACTTCATCAAATCTGGCCCTCTTTGGAAAAAGTTTGGACACCTCTGGCCTAGGGAGAGTTCCTGGAGCCAGGAAGAGAGGCCTGAAGATTCACATTTGGTCACCAGGCCTGAGCTTCCTCACCCCAAAGGTCTTTAATTTTGCCTACTATCTCTGGTGGCTATGCTCTGGCTCCACAGCTGGAGGCAGCCATGCTTCTGAAATTCAGTCACTGGAAACCACAGGAGGGGCCAGTGCTCTTGTGCTTGCGGGTTTTCCACAAGCATCTGGTTGACCACTGCCAGTGCTTTTTTTTCTGGGGGGATGCAGGGGTACGCATACCCCTAAACATTTTGTGAATCTTAGTACTTTTGTCCATTTACTGTATTTATTTTCCCCGATTTGAACTATAAAATGGTGATTTTCTTGAGTCAAAGTTACAAGTAAGTAGCTGTGTTGGTCTGCCGTAGTCAAAACAAAATTAAAAAAATTCCTTCCAGTAGCACCTTAGAGACCAACTAAGTTTGTTATTAGTATGAGATTTCGTGTGCATGCATGTATCTGAAGAAGTGTGCATGCACACGAAAGCTCATACCAATAACAAACTTAGTTGGTCTCTGAGGTGCTACTGGAAGGAATTTTTTAATTTTGTTTCTTGAGTCAAAATAAGAGTACTTCTAAAAATTTTTTTTTAAGAAAAAAACACTGGCCATTGCAATTGGCCTGATCCAGCAGGCTTTTGTTATGCCAACTTTGCATCCTTATTATATATATATATATATATATATATATATATATATATATTCCCTTCGTCTCTTTCCATGGTTAGTGTTGCATATCATAAATCCCTGCATAAACCATTCCATTATTACGTCCATAGAAAACTTATTTACACTGTTGAATTTATCTTAATGCTGCCAACATTTGCAAGTGTACACAATTCTCCCCATAATTGGTTCGTTCTGGACCTTTGTTATAGCTCCTGCACAAGGTAAACAAACACAGGAACAACAGAGAGTCTTGCAGCATTTCAACTGCTTTCATTGCAGTGTGGAGCCATCAATTGCAAGTAGCGTTAAATTAGGTAGGCAGCTCTGAGTATGCAAAGCTTTTTGTCTAGACTGATGTTTCAACTGTCTTCTTGACAAAAGAATTGGAGCCTCTGACACAAGAAAATTCATGGCATGCAATGAGAAATTAATGCGATGAGTATATGTTATGCACCTACCAATGGACAGTCAGTGTTATGACTGGTAGGCATACAGGACTCCTTCATCCTCTTCGGCCACCATTTGTGATGACAGTGGCCAGAACTTTCAGTGTACTGCAGGTGTCCACGGGTGATGACAAACAGACAACGGAAGTCCCAAACTCAATTCTATCAATAATTCTATACATTCTATAAACAAAATTTGTTCTGCATTGGCTTGTGACACCCTAGACCAGTGTTTCCCAAACTTGGGTCTCCAGATGTTTTGGACTAGTGATGAGAGATCATGGGAATTGTAGTCCAAAACAGCTGGAGGCCCAAGTTTGGAAAACACTGCTCTACACTATGGATGGAGAATCCATTGCCCTCCATGTGCTGTTCAACCAACCCCAGCTCCCATCAGCCATAGCTAGCATGGCCAATGGTCAGGGACGATAGGAGTTGTAGTCCAACCACATCTGGAAGACCATCCTTGTCCTAGAAATATGATGCTGCCTCATACTCAGACCATTGGTCAGTTAAGTCCAGAATCGTCCGCTCTGATTGGCCAGCGTCCTAAACAAAGGCATTTTCTATGACCTGTTTCTTGATCTTTTTAACTGGAGATGCAGGGAAACGAACCCAGGACCTTCTGCATTCAAAGCATGTGTTCTCAAAGTGAAGTCCTTACTTGCCCTGGTCAGTGAGAGGAGATTCTGGTTACCACCCTCTTACCCACTGGGGCAATTAAGCACATCACTTTCATTGCTAGGCTATGGCCATGTTATCTGTGGGGAAACAGGCCCCATACTTCTCCTTTGTATAAGAGTGGCCCTTTGTCATTTTTGAGCTACATAGGTCCTTGCACTCCTCAGGCTGTTATTTCCATCACTACATCATATAACTGATTATGGACTAAAAATGTGGCATTTCTTAAGAGAAACTGGCATTTCTCCATCCTTTACCAAGGCATGCTTTCCTGCCTACATTGTTTTATAAAATAATGCTTAGGCTTGATGTGGTTGGACCAACAAAGGCAGTCTGAAATCAAACAGTTCTCCATGAATGCTAAAGGGATGGATTTTATGGGTTTAGTCATTGCACCACTTGACAGCCCATGTCGCACTAACAGGTTGTTGCACTTCTGTGGGCCTACATAAGCATCAATGGGTGTGTGTTGTCTCCATTCTCTGCGAACTGAGCTGACTCATTCCAGGTATCTAGGCAACTTTCCACAACATAAAATTATTATCCAGCTGGAAGAGAGACTTTAGGAGGTGCTGATTGATTACCCAGAAGTCTGTCTAGCCTACGTTAGACATTAAGCCAAAATCAATGGTTATGAAAGTCTTGCCATAAGGCAGTGTTGCCAGTGCCAGCATTGTTTATGAATGAACATTTTCTGGAAAGATATTCTCTTCAGAGTACTAAAATCCTAGGGCTCCTTATTCATTCAAAATAAATACACACATGCTTTGTGTGTATGTAGAGCCAGTGTGGTGTAGTGGTTAAGAGCGGTAGTTTCGTAATCTGGGGAACTGGGTTCGTGTCTCCGCTCCTCCACATGCAGCTGCTGGGTGACCTTGGGCCAGTCACACTTCTCTGAAGTCTCTCAGCCCCACTCACCTCACAGAGTGTTTGTTGTGGGGGAGGAAGGGAAAGGAGAATGTTAGCCGCTTTGAGACTCCTTAAAGGGAGTGAAAGGCGGGATATCAAATCCAATCTCTTCTTCTTCCTCTTCTTTGGATGAAAGAAAGAGTTAGAAAGTTTTAAAAATAGAATCTTTGTAGATGCTTAGGAAAACAAACACCTTTCTAACTTTGTGATAGCTGTTTCACTATCTTTACTGGAAACGTGTCATTCAACAGTGACAGAGTTACCCCAAAAGGATGGGCATCATCCTGCACTTATCGTACCTTTGGAGAAGCAAAGCTGCATAAGCTGCATATGCATTCCTGCACAGTAGGGGCCTAGTTGAGGCAGTTTCATATAACAACCGCCCCAGTCAATAATTGGGTGCATCCAATACCCCCATCCTCACCCAACGCCTATATGAACCGTAGGGCCTTCAGCAACCCAAGTTTCATGTCCAACCCAATGTTGTACTAGGACCAGGGAGATTGAGTTTCAAATCCCCACTCAGCCATGCAGGAGAAAGAACTTATCCATGTGAAGACCACCTGGTGGAAACCCTTAGACATATGGTTCTCAACTGTAAACTATATGCTGATCTCTGTCAGCAATTTCTAGATCAATTCTGTATCCCCAAATGGAAACCAGAGTCAGAGGTCATACATTTTCTATTATTGGGGAATGATAGGAGCTCAGCAAGTTAGTGGCTAAATATCTCTATTTGGTTTTTTGTCGTCAAAATACACTGCAGATGTCTGATCTCCCTGGAGACCAAGAGATGTGACGATAGACTGCTCTGCCTCCTTTCTTTTAGCACTGGGGAAGTGGTAATTCTGTATTGATTTGTTTTGGATGTTTGTATGTGATGCCAATAAAAGGTTTGATGATGATGAAGCTCACTGGGTGACCTTGGGCCAGTCGCTGCCTCTAACTTTCCTACAAGTTGTTGTAATTATAAATGGGAAAAGGGAAGAACCATGATTTGTTTCTTGAGCTCTTTGGAGGAAAGCTGGGATATCAATGTATGCATAATAGTAATAATAATTTCATTTGCCCATCACTTTTTACCAAAAGAGCAACTCCCAACAATAAAACACACAAGAGTACAAAACAAATAAGTCAATTAAACACAATAATGCACACTGCAAGTGGACATACAGACTTACCATTTACAGAAAAGCATAATCTTCCCCACCACCACACTACAAGAAGCAAACAATTATAACCAGAAGCTTGCCAGTCTGAACAGTTGGGCTGGGTCCATGCAAGTGGAGACACGGTCAGGTCCTGCTTCTGAATGAATGTGGATCTGCACATTTGATTAAAGTGGTAGATAACAGGGCTTGTCTGAATTGCAAACCAAATTAGGTTGATTCATACTGATTTGTGCTGAATCTGGATTGGGTCGAAGCGGCTCCAAGTGGGTTTGGCGGACCCAAAATGATTTGTGGAAAATTTGTGCCAGTCTATTTCTCCAAGAGAAAGACTATTTCTCCAGTCTATTTCTTAATCACAACATCATTTATGGAGAACACAAGGGTGGCAGGAGGAGTGGAGCTAGACTTACATAACTCACTGAGAGCTCTGCCTTCCAATGCCAGACTAGAATCTTATTCAGTGGTCTCCCAAAATGTTTTGGGGGAGCAAAGGTGAAGTCATCTATTATTATTATTATTATTATTATTATTATTATTATTATTATTATTATACCCCACCCATATGGCTGGGTTTACACAGCCACTCTGGGCGGCTTCTAGCAAAATATTAAAAATACAATAAAAATGCATCAAGCACCACACTGCCTTCACTCTTTTGTACGTTTGGTGGCATATGTTCAGCTTGTGTTTTGTTTCCTTCACACTACCCTATCCAGCCTTCCACCTGTTTATTTTCCATCCTTTCCTGATCAGTCCCAATCCCAATAAAATAAAATAGTTTGTTGCCTTAGTCTTAGTCTTAATTATTTAGGCACTGTCACTTTCCTTAGTAAAGGTAAAGGTAAAGGGACCCCTGACCATTAGGTCCAGTCGCGGACGACTCTGGGGTTGTGGCGCTCATCTTGCTTTATTGGCCGAGGGAGTCGGCATACAGCTTCCGAGTCATGTGGCCAGCATGACTAAGCCGCTTCTGGCGAACCAGAGCAGCACACGGAAATGCTGTTTACCTTCCCGCTGGAGTGGTACCTATTTATCTACTTGCACTTTGACATGCTTTCAAACTGCTAGGTTGGCAGGAGCTGGGACGGAGCAACGGGAGCTCACCCCATTGCAGGGATTCGAACCACGACCTTCTGATCGGCAAGTCCTAGGCTCTGTGGTTTAACCCACAGTGCCACCCGCATCCCTGTCACTTTCCTTACACCCCTTCAATTCTGTCCCTAGGATTTTAGGTTAGGCTTGTATTCTATTTAGAGCTGTGCTCTGTTTTCTGCGCCTGTCTTTATCAGTAAATACTTTGTTGTGTGCATTAGTAAGTCTTGTCAGTACATTGTACACAGTCCAGTACTTTTATACAGTGCTCGCAATAGCTGCTTATGGAAGTGATTCACTCCCCCAACCTCCCCTCTACTCTCCCTTATTATGCTGAATGAATTCCCCTAGTCTCCTGCAGACTGATGTCGAAGGCATGCTAGGCAGCAATTTCTTGCCAGGAGGAGATAAGTATTCCTTATTTCTGGATTGTCAGTGCTGGTTTTGTAGTGGAAAGGAGGCCCTCTGCCACTGATTCACAACAATTTTGGGGTACATTTGGAATGGGGATGTATGCAAAGTCTCCAGTTCTGGGCCAATCTCTGGGCCATCAGAGATGGATGAAGTTTTTTTTGCAGCCTAAAGAACGCATGGTGTAAGATGACAGCTGTGCTACTTTTTGAAATGTGGCTTCGTGCATTGCATTTTTATCAAGTTAATTTGATTCGCAAATGCCAGATTAGGAGCACAGTTTCACAATAGACGTGCTATCCTTAAAATGAGTCTTTTGGCCATTGCAATTGTTGAATTTGGAATGTGGCTTTAAAAAACAACAACACAGAAAACTTGAAAGAGAATCTACTTATCTTTCCAAACCCCCTAGGTAAAGAGGAAACATGGATATAAAGTATATGATGGTGGTGATGGTGGGAAGTAACAGAAACCAGAATATATTTAATGGTTTCAGATGAAGAACAGCAATGTGCCATCATAAGGGAAGCAAAAGCAAGGCCAGGTTTCTTTCAGGTGCAGCAATACAAACTAAGGTAGTCAACCTCACATTTTCGTTACAGACATTTCCCCATAGTTTTAGTTTGAGGCTCTATTTTATATTGATTGAAGTTATGAATGGAATTGTTGCCTCTCTGGGCTCAGCCTAAAATTGTGGAAAGAGCGTATATCAAAGATTTGATTCATTTCACATTTAGAGGTAAAGGTACCCCTGCCGGTACGGGCCAGTCTTGACAGACTCTAGGGTTGTGCGCTCATCTCACTCTAGAGGCCGGGAGCCAGCGCTGTCCGAAGACACTTCCGGGTCACGTGGCCAATGTGACGAAGCTGCTCTGGCGAGCCAGCGCAGCACACGGAAACGCTGTTTACCTTCCCGCTAGTAAGCGGTCCCTATTTATCTACTTGCACCCGGGGGTGCTTTCGAACTGCTAGGTTGGCAGGCGCTGGGACAGAGCAACGGGAGCGCACCCCGCCATGGGGATTCGAACCGCCGACCATGCGATCGGCAAGTCCTAGTCACTGAGGTTTTACCCACAGCGCCACCTGCGTCCCTTTATTTCACATTTATACTCACCTAATTCACTTTCCCAATCATAGACTTCCTTTGATTTTTTTTTTTTTTTTAAATCATATTTATTAAAGTTTCCAAAAATATAGAAATACAAAGAGAAAAGAAAAAGAAAAAAAGATATTTAAAAACCTTACTTTCATTGCCTACTTTCTGGGACTCCCCCCCTCCCCCCCCTGACTGTATTCCCCTTTCCTTAATTTGGTTCTACAAGCTCTCACTCCCAATTTGAAGCTTAATTTGTTTAACCCACTATCCAAATTGAATTGTACAAATCTTACCACCGTCCCACATCATTAACAAGAAAAGAAAAAAGATTTTCCCCAAGATCCACCCCAGTTCCTTCCACGAATTCCCTTTTTTTAAACACGTCCGATCAAAATAAAATGACATGCGTAAGTTATATAAAGAAATAGAAAATAAGAGATATAGAAAAATTCAAAAGATGGTTACACAGCCTTTGGATTTCAAATCTCCCCCCCCCCTTCCCCGGTTTGAATTCCCCATGTCCATCAGTCTATACATTATCAGCTTGGAAGTCTCATTTCATGACCAGATTTCTCCCCGATTCCATCTTGCCGGTTTTCTTTTAATTTATTAATTTTAATAATATTTAGCTTCAAGTGTCCAATCTAACAAAGGCCTTTAATTTCCTTGATCTTTACCACTCCTCCCGTTGTTCTTTCCGTGTCGTAATCAGTCCTTTGTTCTTCTTATTCCTCACTTTCTCAGGTTTCTTGTCCTGTTCAGCTGCTAAAACTTTCTAATTCAGAAATCTGGTATCTCTGCAGAGGTTTGTTATTCAGGAACAAAAACTTACGTCCAGTCCCTTCCTTTCTTCAATAGAAAATTCTATTGTCTCCTTTAATGTAAATACCTCTGTAGACAAAATACTATTTCAGTTTTGCAGCTTTCCCAGAAGATAACAAGTCCTGTGCGAATCCCAGAGTATTTTTCCACTTACGACCGTTCTTGTAATATCCCGAAACCCCTCTAGGGGGATTGTAATAACTTTGTATCCTCTAATCCAAAAGTCAAATTGTTACTTATTTTCCAACAATTTATATCCATATTATAGCAAATTGTAACAAAATTAACCAGCAAAGTCCTCTTAACAAAGTCCTCTTTATATTCTCCAGCTTTGACAGCCACTTTGACAGCTGTCAAAGTCTCCGTCTCTCTTCACCAGGCTCCACGAATCGCCCCGGTTTCCAGGGGGGGGGGGTTGCATTTTTCTTCACACCCTCCACTCTTCTCCTCCAGCACAGTTCTTATAATTTCCCATCATGAAATTAATGATTTTTATCAGAAGTATACTTCCCTTTGGACCTTGGTTACCCAGTCCTTGTTTTGGAATGCTTACAATAGGGGGGGGGATTGACTTCCTTTTTAAATCGCCCCCGCTCGTGTCAAATCCGAAATTTTGAAGCCGGTTTCCCAATTACTCACGGGTTGTTGTTAATAGTCCAAATTTTCAATGGAAGAAGTCAGCGCTCTCCGTCGAATGGCATGCGGCTGCGCTCGGCAGGGAAAGCAGAAGACTCAAAGCACCACGCCGCTCCCGGCACCCGATCCGAAGCCTTTAAAAGGCTCCTTCACGAGTCGGGAGGGCGCTAATGGTGCAAGCCGAGTCACCCATGTCCACGGGCTCCGTGCCCGTGGTTTTTAAGGGTCCCCGCGTCGCCGGCGCGGTAGGACCCAGCCCCTGCCGAGCAGACTCCCTCCGGAGCTCGGAGGGAGTCCGCCATTCGGCGATGGCGCCAACCCGGAAGTCCATAGACTTCCTTTGAAATTCGCACTGCTCTGAAATTAGCAATGCAGGTCTGCAACCAAGTAATTCCTACAAAAATGTGTGCACAGAAATGCACATGTTAGTGAAAATAACATACAAAATGCCCCATATTAAGGGAACTTGCTTTCAAAAAATGTCTATATTAGACAAAATTGCATACAAGAATAGGGAAGATGCATATACTAGGGAAAAGTGGGCATAAATGTGTATATGTTAGTGAAAAATAGCGTACAAAGATGCATTATTTAAGAGGAAATGCTTTGCAAAAAATGTGTATATTAGAACAGCATATAAAGATGGGTTTATTAGGAGAGATTCATACTAAATTTCTCTGCTGAATTTTCATGAGGACTTTTTTCTTTTAAAAAACCATAAACTGATGAGGAAATGTGGAGAATTGAGTATAAAGTGGGGAAAACAACAAGCTGTCAAACTAGCACATGTTGCAGAGAGTTAGTTACTGTTGTAAAGAGGTTGTTTTGTACTCCTGATATTTTCCCATGGGAATCTGGAATTTATATTTTTCAAGCCAATTTGGCTGTCCAAAATTATGGATGGATGGATAGGTCCTCTGAGCTCCTCTGGCTAATTTCTCTCTGTGGTATGGTCAGTGCTTGGAAAGTTCATTTTTTCAAAGGGATTAATTCAAGTTCGCACATTCCGAAAATGAATTACAGTAGTTCCCGTTCATGCTCCACTCTTCAAAAAGGAACTCATTCCATTCCAGTTGAATTCAAAATTCATCCCTCTGGCCCTCTGCATTCTTCCCCAGCCTTCAAAATCTCACCAGCTGCTCTCCTAAAGTATAAAATATCCTTAAGGCTAAGAAAATTTCAAAAACCATGCAAGAGTGTAAAATGAACAATTGTTCAACAATTATGCTCATTAAGCCTAAACACCAGCATCACTTTTCAGATTGGTAAAGATGATGAAGAAGAAGAGTTTGGATTTGATACCCCGCCTTTCACTCCCTTTAAGGAGTCTCAAAGCGGCTAACATTCTCCTTTCCCTTCTTCCCCCACAACAAACACTCTGTGAGGTGAGTGGGGCTGAGAGACTTCAAAGAAGTGTGACTAGCCCAAGGTCACCCAGCAGCTGCATGTGGAGGAGCGGAGACGCGAACCCGGTTCCCCAGATTACGAGACTACCGCTCTTAACCACTACACCACACTGGCTCTGATGGTAAATTGAATGGTCTGTTTGGATGGACTGCAGCTCCCATCTTAAAAATGGGATGAAGGGCAGTATATAAATCAAATACATATATACATATATGCAGGCATACATACGTATCTCACAAACAACCCTCTGACATTTCAGCAATAAAGTAAGTGCAGCAAAAGCCCTGCAAAAGCCCATCCATGAGAATTAGCCCAAAGCTTTCTCTTCCCTTTGATAATTTCTACATGCAGTTTCTGTTCCCATTAACTGATGGTGGGTAGCTAAAAAAACTGAAGGAGAAATTTCCAGCTATCTATCTACTGGACATTGATACCCATCCAAACACCCTCAACCAAAAGGCCTCCTAGTTTTTCTGTGCAGCTGCTGAAGCTACAGCTTCCTGTCAAATTGACTGTGAAAAACTAATTACTGAGCTTCTTATTTTCTTCTGCGCCACAGCCCTTCATTAAGAAACAAAGGGATCTAGATGTTTGGCTCATGCATCAGGGCGATGGAGATGCAAGATACAGGTGTGTGGGGATAAGTGGGAAGTTTCGGTCTTATTAAGACCTGCGGAAACAAAGCTGCTGGGTCATGTTGCTTCCTTTAAAATGCAGAGGAATGGAGTCACATAGAGGAGAACAGAATGTATCACTGAAGGGAACCAGCTCCAGAAGATTGCAGATTGTCTCATTGCTTTGCAGTAGTGAAACTGCCTTGTTAATTTTTATTTATTTATTTTAATGCATGTGTTAATATGCTGCCGTTCAAAATATGCCGTCTTCCCATGGTGGCCTGCAACGCATAAAAACCATCTGAAGCCTATTTGAGGTGGCATCAACAGAAGTGTCCAAATCAAGGAAAGTAATAGCTAGTTTTGGCTAGTTCTGGGCAGCACCATTTAAGAAAGATATTGACAAGCTGGAATAAGTTCAGACAGGGGCGACGAAGATGATCAAAGGTTTGGAAACTAAGCCTTATGAGGAACGTATGGTTAGCCTGGAGACTGTGAGAGGATATGATAGCCATCTTCAAATATCAATCAATCAATCAATCAATCAATCAATCAATTTGGGATTTCCTTTGGGGGTTCCCCGGCTGGCACTTCCCACCACACCTCATGGTCCAGTAAGTCCCCAACACTGGGAGAATAAGGTTCAAATCCCCACTCAGGCATGAAGCTCACTGGGTTCTTGTGAGGATAAAATGGGGAGGAGGAAAACAAAGTATGCCACATTGAGATACAAATACAAATAAATAAAAATATAAGATAGTGTATGACAAAAAGCAGATTAGCATTCTACGTTGTATTTCATGATAGCAAGGTAATAGTTGAGGATGTAAACATATTTTTTTTTAAGTGTGGCAGCATATGATTAACACATATTCCTAATTTAGTCAAAATCAAAATTAGAAAAGAAAGCTCCTCACCAAGGAGGAGCTTGTTACCGTACCAAGTTACCGTACAAGGTCAGGTGTTGATACTTCACACACTATTAAGTTGTCAGCACTTCTCCCTACTGTGTACCATAAATTGTAATCATGCAAAGGTTTTCAATAGCAGTGCATTTTCCCACATGCTGACATTTGAATTTTTGAATTAGCACAACCATCTTCTTATCCTCTGGTGGTGGTGGTGGTGGGGGACTCTTAAGATAAGCAGCATGTCATTCACACATCTCCGACAGCTTCTGAAGGCGGGAAGATCGCAGCATGGCAGGAGCCCTTTGTTGCAATCTGCAGGCAAATGCAAAACTTTAGAGGGGAATTTAATGACTTCAGCAGTAATAAAGTTCCTTTGCGGTGCACAACCGTCACGTTTAATAACGCACCTAATCGGAAAACATCTCCATTTCTCCAGTCAACTGAGAAGAATAATGTTGAAGGTGTCTTTCATCACTGCACACATTTATGAGGTGAGGTTGAAGCAGATAAACAAGAAAGAGAACAAAGCAGAAGAATATCTAAGGCTGGATTTGGTTTTGTTTTTCATTAATTTCAGGCTCACAGGATGATGCGTTCATCCTAAACTAATGCCCGATATCTGAATCTCAGGTTCCTCTCCTGATGAGCAGGATTACAATTTTTGCAATATGCTGGCGAGGGAGGCTTTCCAGTTTTGAGATGCTCAGTCATAATCCCAACCTGGATTTGACTCACTTGCTTCTCAGAAAGAGTGGAGTTTGAGGTGTGTGGGGCAGAGCCTGGGGGCTGCGCTGCACTGCTACAACCCCTGGGCATGTTTACAAAGCATGCTTTCTAATGGCTTGAAAAGAACTTTCATTCCCATCCCACTGAGGCCTGGCATGGTGTTGCTGTTCCACCTTTCAAGCAATCTCATATACAGGCAACTCCCTCACCCATTATGGCGTCGGTGCACTCAGTGGCTCTGTGAGTCTGTCGCAGAGTCTGGTTGTGTCCCGGTTTTGAGTGTATCTTGTGTTGGGCACTCAGGATGATTTTGGGATTCTTCTGGAACATCTCCCACTGCCCTGCCCAGCAGACAGCCTGAATAAGGTGTGACAAACGTTGGGTGTTGATCACTTCCAGGTTGTTAGTCAGTGAAGGCTCCAACCTGGTGGAATGCTCTGTCCCATGAGACTAGGGCCCTTCAGGATTTAACCTTCCGATGGGCCTGTAAGACAGAGCTATTCCATCTGGCCTTTAATTTGAATTCAGCCTGATCTTTTATTTCCCTTCCCTTCCCTTCCCTTCCCTCCCCCTCCCCTTTTATGAAGATTACCCACTCTGAGACCCTACAACTAATTCTCCCCTGGCCTCCTTGCTGGCCCAAGTCGGACCAATTCAGCCAGCTAGCCCTGGGGATTATCGAATGCTTATTAAATTGATGTTTGATTTTTATTGTTATTCATGTTTTTATACTGTATTTTATGCTGGTTTTACAATTAAGTGTTTAAAATTTGTTGTTAGCCGCCCTGAGCCCAGTTTTTGAACCGGGAGGGGTGGGGTATAAATAAAAAATATATTTTTTTTAATTATTATTATTATTATTATTATTATTTATTAGTCTTGGGGGACCTCCATGGTCATGCTTGAAAATGCCTTGGCAGGGAGGCTGAGGCTGGCTTTCCCCACTCTAACTCTCTTGTCATGGTCAGATCACTTCTTGTTGATCTCATTCATAATCAGGTCATGGATTATTATGATCACCGCAGCCATTCCCTTCTGCAGGGGTGGGGGAACCAGTTAGGATAATCTGGCTCAGGGAGTTTATAAAATCCACAAGATTACAGAGAGCCCTTCAGGAGTTTCTGGTTGTCATGGCTGGTGCTCCTGTTGAAGCTTTGGTCACTCTGGTTGACATCATTTCTCCTAAGTGCCCTCTTCTACTGAAGAGGCTCTTCAGTATTCTGGGGAGAAGGAAGCAAGTAGGAAGAGAGTTAGAAATGAAATGGCAGGATTTACGCTGAATGAGTTTCAACACTCCTGAGAGCTCACTCTCAAGCCTACTCAGTGGCTGTGATGTTGGCAAATCAATAATTCTTTTCTGACACCATTGCAATTTCACTGTGCTACCTAGGGCAGCTTTTCAGGGTAATTTGCAGCCTACTGAAATTTGGCACATCTGGTGATGTTAAGAAACCCACAGAGGCCTGCTGTGGCATGTTTGGAAGGCAGATGGAGGGTAAAATCCCTTGCATCCACTGTAACTTGAATGCAGCAATCGAATCAGGCCTGTCTATGGAAATGCCCAGAGCTCCATCTGGTCCCATATTGTTTGTTCAGTTTCTGCAGCTTGAGGATGTGAACAAGGTATCCAGACAAGTGCTGCTCAATTTGTGTATCTACTTAATCCTTGGCCTTCTTAGTTCATTGCACAGGAACATAGGAAGCTGCTTTATGTTGACTCAGACCATTGGTCCATCTAGCTCAATACTGTCTACAATGACTTAGCATTTCAGGCAAGTGTCCTTGCCAAACCAATCCTAGACATTGGACCTGGGACTTACTGCTTACACCCCAGCCCAGTCCAAAAGAAGGCTATGCATCCGGGAACCCTGGCAGCCTGTAATACATACGTACATATATGCTGAGGTCCCCTGATCCCAGGATTGCACTCAAGAAATTCACATCTGTAATGCTATGCTGAACAAGTTAAGCATTCTTTTTTATATAATTAAAAATTTTATAGACATTTTCAAAGTTTCACAACGAAATTCAACCTACTGCAAACAGAGCACAAGAATTCCACAGTACAGTGGTACCTCGGGTTAAGAACTTAATTCTTTCAGGTTCTTAACCTGAAACTGTTCTTAACCTGAAGCACCACTTTAGCTAATGGGGCCTCCTGCTGCCACCGCACCGCTGCTGCACAATTTCTGTTCTCATCCTGAAGCAAAGTTCTTAACATGAGGTACTATTTCTGGGTTAGCGGAGTCTGTAACCTGAAGCGTCTGTAACCTGAAGTGTATGTAACCCGAAGCACCACTGTATTAAAAGGAATTTGCACAGCCCAGATATAATTTTCAGAGCAACCATTTCTAGTTCTACCCATATGGAAAGTGCTATTGTGAATAATGTTTGCAATATCACAATTTCCTAATGTGGAAATGCATTTGCTCGCATTGATCTCTTCTTACCCAGGGTATGAGCTGGAGGCACATGAGGCTGCCATCTTGATGAAGCTAAGCAGGTCTGGATCTGCATGGAAACCGCATCTAGAACTTTCAGGTAAATACCTGGAAGACAGAGTTAATGCAAATATAATGTAATAAAATAAATAATATTCTCAGTTCTTGCTTTCCCTTATTGCCCCCTCCAACAGAAAAAAATTGATTGTAATCTCCTTGGGACCTTTCTTTTCTTGCTTATCTTACTCTGTAAAGTGCCATGTGCGCTAAATGACTATGTCTAAAGGTAAAGGGACCCCTGACAATTAAGTCCAGTCGCGAACGACTCTGGGGTTGCGACACTCATCTCGCTTTAAAGGTCAAGGGAGCCCACGTTTGTCCGCTTCTGCAGAAAGTTTTTCTACTATTCTTCCCCATCCCATTGCAGTCTGCAGCACTTTTCTCACTTGCCGCTACTGGCTGATCATTGAAGCTGCTGGTGGAAAGGAAGAGCCCTCATGAGCTTGGGAGTGATGAGTCCTCTGCCTCCTGGGCAGAGCTCCAGAGAGATCACCACCATCACGCCAGGGACTGAACTCTGTTCCCCTACCCAACCCACTTTTTGATGAGAATTAAGGAATTTGTAACAAAAGAAAAGAAAAAAATGAGTGATTTAGGGAGAATTGGACACAAATTATTAATGCATAGTCCAAATTTATGCTTTAAGATCAATTAAGATGTGTTACAAATATGAAATTTCAAATTAGAGTTTTTTGCAAATATTTCCTAATATTGATTTAGGTGTACATCATGTCTCTATAATTTGACAGACAGTTGTAAGTATCTCCTGGTTTAGTGATTTGTAAATGTGTAATTAATTTTTTGTTTGCCTGTGTCTCTGTAGCTGCTATCTTTATTAATTTTATTACAATCATTTAAATTTTCCTTCCTCTGTGTTGTAATTTTTGAGCCAGTGCATAACAGGAAAAATGCATGCATACTCTGAAAAAAACTGTGAGCCCATTGGAAAGCTCAGGGCATATTAACAGTAAAATATTCACCTTACCCCTCTTCTCCATTCCTCTGCAGCCCCCCTTAAAATCAGCTCTGGGGTGATGGGGGACCCTCCAGACAAGATTTTGGGGTACAGGGTGGGGATGGGGAGAGGAAATGGAATTGCTGCTGCACCAGTGGAACTCTAATGCCACTATTTTGGATGCTTTGGATATTTGTTGGCACCTGTCTGTCTCGAGAGACAATGGAGTGTGCATCCAGGGGGCAAGGGAGTGGGTGGTGCTGCGGTCTAAACCACTGAGCCTCTTGGTCTTGCTGATCAGAAGGTCGGTGGTTTGAATCCACACAACGGGGTGAGCTCCCGTTGCTTGGTCCCTGCTCCTGCCAACCCAGCACTTCGAAAGCACGCCAGTGCAAGTAGATAAATAGGTACTTCTGCAGCAGGCAGGTAAATTGCATTTCTGTGTGCTCTGGCTTCCAACATGGTGTTCTGCTGCACCAGAAGCAGTTTAGCCATGCTGGCCACATAACCTGGAAAAGCTGTCTGTGGACAAACATTGGGTTCCTCTGCCTGAAGCAAAGTGAGCGCCTCACCCCCATAGTTGCCTTTGACTGGACCTATCTGTCCAGGGGTCCTTACCTTTCTTTACCTGCATCCAGGGGTGATGTCAAACTGATGGAAAATCACAGGTACTGTGGCTGCAGAAACCAGTAACTTTTAAAATGCTGCCTCCCACATTGTTTTTGCTGTGTTAGCAAACCTCTCGGGGCACAAACCAGGTCAATGTGTACGGGGGTCCTGGGCTGCCCAGATGACAAGAAGCTCCATCTTGGCCATTACACTCCTGGTCCAGTAGGCCAGATATGGTTCGCCAAAAGCAAGTTGGGTCTTTTTCGTGTGAAGCCTTGACCAGGCTTTGCCATGCAATTTTATTTGTATATCTTTTATTTGTATATATTGCTTGTTTTATGTTGCTACAGCCATTGGCTAATGTGAATAAAGTTTATCTTATTTCCATCTTGGCCTCATTGATGTGATCCAAAGAAAAGAAAAACAAAACTGTTTGGCACCAGCTTGGCTGCAGGAGTTGCTGGAAAGGGGCACATAAAGCGCTATCCAACTGTCTTAGGGACTCCACTCCAGCTTTGTGTAGGGTTTCCTCCTTAGCATTTTCTTCTCCCAAAGGTATCCTGCAAGGCAGTGGGTATGGATTTTCCCTTGGGGTTTATTCCCAAAGTCTTTCTCATGAATGTGTATCTTTGGATACAACTACTACTATCGAAAATAGAGAGCCAGTTTGGTATGGTGGTTAGAGTGTCATACTAGGGCAGTGTTTGCCAAACCTAGATCTCCAGCTGTTTTTGAACTACAACACCCATCATCCCTAGCTAGCAAGACCAGTGGTCAGGGATGATGGGAATAGTCCCAAAACAGCTGGGGATCCAAGTTTGGGAAACACTGTCCTAGGACCTGGAACACCAGGGTTAAAATCCCCACTTGGCTATGAAGCTCACTGGGTGATCTTGGGCCATTGCCTTCTCCCAGCCTAAACTACCTCACAGGGTTGCTGTGGGATATAAGTGAGGATGGGGAAGACAATGTATGCCACCTTGAGCTCCTCAGATAAGAAAGTGGGATGGAAATGCACTAAATAAATAAAGAATCCCATAGGGTATTGAACAGCAAATGTACTTCACTAAAAAAGAACAGACATTTTATCTTGAAAATAACACAGAGACCACTGAATGCCGTATGGGTACTGTACATCTTACATCAGACAACAAGCACTTTGCGGTGCTATCAATAGACTTGGCATCTCTTTTGGCCATCAAGCGAACACAGTTCCGGCTTAGTGCGAGTCGGCTTGCCAGAGGGTGTTGCCTCCTTCTTTAATTAGAGCTCTGAGGAGATGTTGTGGTTTCAGTGGGAAGTCATATGATGAGATTCCCTTTGCAAACATGTGCATACTTGGTCCATGCCTGGGTTTGGCAAGCTTTAAGGAAGGGCTTTGTATTTCATGAAACAAAATCCTATTTTCCAGGGTTCCTGCAGTTGTGCGTTGTGGTCCAGCGCCACCTGTCATAGCATCTCGACTTCTGCCTTGGGAAACTTCATATCCAGCCCTCTGTCATCTGGCAATTTAAAACCTGCTGTTTAGAACCCATAGCTCATAGCTAACCACATTAAAAAAAACAAAAAACTTCTTTCCAAAGGCTTCTAAAACTGTGGATCCGCACCAGTTAGCAGGAAAATAAGCCCCTAATGATTCCCATTGCAAAGAGTGTGTTGGCAAGGACCACAGATATGAACTATGTTGTTAGCACCATTTGACAAGCATATTGGGAAGCTCAGTGATAGAGCATCTGCTTTGCATGCAAAAAGTCCGGCATTTCCAGGTAGGGATGGGAGAGGCACCTTGGAGATCTGCTGGCAGTCAGTGTGGACATTACTGAGCTAGATGCACCAATGGTATAATCTACCTTCCTGTGTTCCTTTATTTAACCAGTGAGCATAAGCATTAAAACCCTTCAGTGCATTTTCTTCTTCTCATCCATATTATGGAGAGGGAGTCACTAACATGCACGGTCAACTTTTCAAAGGGCTTTGCTGTTTCTGGAACAGCAGCCTGATCTGAAGCAGTTATCAGGGAATAGCATTTGGGGAAGCTCCACTTGATAGTTCCAGCAGATCAAGCTGCTATTAAAGGCACAAAGAATGCCAGAAGAGCCCTATTGAATCAGACAAAGGCTGCCAATCTATGTCTACTCAGAAGTAAAGCCTACTGAATTTGATAGGATTACTCCAAATTAAATGGGATTAGGATTGCAGCCTAAAATATATCTAGTCCAGGGTCCTGTTTCCTGCAATGGTGAACCAGATATGAATGAGAAACCCGTAAGCAGGCTACAGAACAGCACAGATGGTAGAGCATGAGACTCTTAATCTCAAGGTTGTGGGTTTGAGCCCCATGTTGGGCAAACGCTTCCTGCATTTCATGGGGTTGGACTAGGTGACCCTTGTGGACCCTTCCAACTCTACAGTTCTATGATTCCATGAAAGCAATTGTGTTTCCCCAGCACCTTATTCATTCTAAAGGTAATATCAGTGGCGTAGCATGGTTTGCCAACTACTGGGGCCACGTGGAGGTTGGAAAATGGCACATTCAACTGCCTAACGGCATCTGTGTCACACAGGAGATTGCAGCCATAGAGATAAGGAAAGAAGCAGTTTCATCGTCTGGAGAGGTCACTTCCTGGTTCTCATGGAGAAGCCGTTATCAATGGAACCCAGCCACGGAAGCAAGCAGCTGTGTTGTGGCAGCACTGGGTGTTGAAATTTTACACCCCTAACAATTTTGTGCCTGGGGCAGCCTCCCCTGTGCCCCTCCCCATACCACACCACTGGGTAATATATTAGGGCTGTGAGCCATAATCAGTAGAAAACCCAACTGAACCGATTCAAAGAGATCTGGGCACGGGCTGTGGTGGATCACTCTGGCCTGGTCAGGATGCCAGAGTGATCTGGGATTTTCAGGGAGCAGGGCGTCAGGCAAGAAAGCTGCTGGGGTCTGTATCACCAGGGTGTTCCATTCAGGGAAGACCCTTGTGAAATAGCACCCCTCAGGATTGAATCAAAGCCACAGGACTAAAAGTGGGCTCTGCAGGGTTCTTCTTTACAATAACCTGCAGGGAAGTTGCTTGTGAAGCAGAACCAGACAAGCTTTAATCCTCCTGCTCTTAGTCGGAGGTGGAAATTTTCATAGAATTAAAGAATTGTGGAATTGGAAGGGATCACAAGGGTTGCCTTGTCCAACCCCCTTGCAATGCAGGAATCTTTTATACACTTCTATCATGTTGTCTCTTACTCACCAAATGCTACAACATTCCCTCATAGGGAACCCCTCCTTTGGGATTTTTAGAGAAAGGATGAGTAAGGAGGCAGATGGTAAGTTATGTTCACGGTGCAGAGACAGTCGATAGAGAAGGATTTTTACACTAAGTACTAGAATCGAATTGCATGTTGGGAGAATCAGGACAGACAACAGGAACCCAGCACATATGGAATTCTCTATGACAATGTACTAATGGCCTGGATGGCTCTATGACCTTCAGTCAGCTTGCCTCTGAGTACCAGTTACTAAGGAACACAAGCAGGAGAGTGCTCTAGTGTTCATGGAATCATAGAACTGTAGAGCTGGAACCACAGGGGTTGTATAGTCCAACCACCTGCAATGCAGCAATGTTTTGCCCAATGTGGGGCTCGAACTCACAACTCTGGGATTAAGAGTCTCATGCTTTACCACGTTGGCTACTGTGGGAACAGAATGCTACACTGCTTCCCACCCCCTTTTTAATGGTAGTGCCCTCTTTCAAATTCAAATACGTTGGAATTCCTTGGTAGTTGTCCACATACATCAAGGGCCCTGACTTGGGCACCAGATTATGGGTGCCCAGCAGCACACGCAATGCGCCAGAGCGGTGCCTGGGAGCCCCAGAAGTCATGTTGGAGGCCCCACAAGGTCTTGGGATGTGACTTTCAAGTCCTCTCAATGCACTGGAAGTTGCATCAAAAGGCATCACAAGACCTCTGAGGTGGCGTCCGAGGCCTCATGGGGCCTCCGATGCGATTTTGGGGGTTTGTGAGGCCCTGGAAGTCATGTCAGAGGCCCTGAGGTGGGTGCCGAGCACCCACAACAAAACTTTTGTTGGCGCCAGTGACATACATATTTATTGAGCTTGATAGCCCCGTGGTCACAGTTTCCAGTTGGTTCAATAACATGTCTCTCACCAAGTGATGCAACTTTTTATAGTCCTGTTTACAATGCTATGCTTTTCACCTGTTCACACACTGAAGCTCATCCTTTTACATCAACCAAGCATGAACAGATAGTTTTGAAATCTTCATCACATGAATCAGTGTTGTGCACAGGAGTATGGTCCATTTCTCAAATGTTATACCCCAAATATTTTTTTCACCAATTTTGAAGAATGTGATTCCCATTTCAAAGAATATCAAGTGCACAGGGATATAATTAGATATATGGAGCTGTTGCCTTCTAGATGGTGCTTGTCATTGCCAAATTAATCCATATTGCTTGGGCTTAATTGCCATTTTCAAAATTGTTCCTTTTGTTTATAATGAGTTGGAAGATCATGACAATTGAGGTGTGGATTGATTATTTATTTATGCATTCACAAAGGGATTCAGTTTGATGAAAACCAGTTCCCAAATATCAAGGAGACAGACAGTCCTGTATCATTATAAAGTCACATGTCAATTCGGCATCTAGTAAAACTAGTTCCCTTTGTGCCTATGAGTCAGATAAACTAGTTTGCCAGTGTCAAAGGATGCTTTGCTTTCTCCAGCGTCCAAAGGGATCAAAGAAGAAGGAGCGGTGGTGAAGACACAGAGAGAGTGGCAGGACAATATTGATTGAACTGTAAGTAAAATTCTCTTAGTAAATTGGGATTTGTGATAAATATATTATTAGACACGGTGCCGGATATCTGAAATTCATGAACCTACTTAATTGAAATGCGGGCTTGCTGGTAAATTTCATAAAATTCTTATGAGCTAGTGTGGAAGAATATCCTTATGCGAGGAAGATCCCATCATAAATTTTTATTGGAAGTATTGTACAAGGTAAGTTACCAAGAAATAATAAGAAACTAAAAAGAAAAGTGGAGAGATGAAGAATGAAATTGGTAGGCCTTCTGATACATTGAAATAAAAAAGAGTGATGAAACCCAGCGGCGTAGCGTGGGTGGCCAGCACCTGGGGCCGTGTGGAGGGTGCTATTAAAGGCACAAAGAACACCAGAATAGACCTTTGAATCAGACAAAGGCTGCCAATCTATGTTTACTCAGAAGTAAAGCCTACTGAATTAGATGGGATTACTCCAAAGTAAATGGGGTTAGGATTGCAGCCTGAAACATGTCTAGTTCCAGTGTGGTGTAGTGGTTAAGAGCGCTAGCCTCGTAATCTGGTGAGCTGGGTTCGCCTCCCCGGTCCTCCACATGCAGCTAGTCACTCTTCTCTGAAGTCTCTCAGCCTCACTCACCCCGCAGAGTGTTTGTTGTGGGGGAGGAAGGGAAAGGAGAATGTTAGCTGCTTTGAGACTCCTTAGGGTAGTGATAAAGCGGGATATCAAATCCAAACTCTTATTCTTCTTCTAGTCCAAAGTCCTGCTTCTTGCAATAGCCAACCAGATACAAATGAGAAACCCAGAAGCAGGGTAGGAGAGTAATTACGTTTCTCCAGCACCTGAGTCACATGGAAGTAGCGTACCGTGGGTTGCCAGCTCCCAGGGCCATGGAAGGGAGGGAAACGGATGGAGTGCGCATGCGCATTCAACTGTCTTAACAGTGCCTGTGTAACCCAGGAGATCGTAGCCACAGAGATAAGAAAAGAAGAGTCATTCCGTTGTCTGGAGAGGTCACTTCCTGGTTCACATGGAGAAGCCATTTTCAACAAAGCTCAGCGATGGAAGTGCACAGCTGTATTGAAGCAGGACTGGGTACTGAAATTTTGATCCCCCTAGCAATTTTGCACTGGGGCAACTGCCCCTGGGGCCCCCCTCATGCTATGCCACTGATCAAACCAACTACATCGTCGCAAAACTAAAGTACAATTAGTGGGATTTTTTTGTGCATTTATTGTAAAGCCTTTCATCCAAGGAGCTCAAGATTTCCCCCTCTGCACCCATTTTATCTTCACAGTCACTATATGAGGTAGGCTAGAGCAGAAATAGCAGCTGCTCAAAGATCACCCAGTGAGATTTAAACATGGGCTTCGCCACTCCTAGTCTGGTATCCTAACTACTACACCAGATTGTCTTGGGTGGCTGCATAAAAGCAATTAACATTTCTGAAGTTTGAATGAGAGTTTAACTGTATGAGCCATTAAGCAATAAAACAAATCACCTGGTGAGCTTGTCAAAATATCTTTTTGTTGTTGTTGTTTTTAAAATGATATTTATTGAGAATTTTAAGATTACAAAGAAAAAAGAAGGAAAAAACAAGAGAAAGAGAAAAAGAAAGAAAAAAAGTAGATAAAAGTAACAATTAAACAATACAAATCAGTAAAAACCAAAGTCAAAAAGAAAAAAAAACAAAACACACAATACATCAAAATCAAAAAGCAAAAATAAACAAAAAAAATTAAAAACAGATCCAATATTCCCAGATCCTTAACTGTCATTACCTTATTTCATCGACCTCCTCACACCTCCCTTTTTTGTATTCTAGTTGTTAATTATCTCAGCAAATCCTTTCCATCTTTCACAATATTCTGTCATTAAATTACCTTAATCTATTTTAACCTTATCTTACCATAAAAAACCCTAAAACTTAAAACTTAAATCTTATTTATACCAAATTCTCTTAACCATAACATATTCTTACATAATTCTTTTTAACATTTCTGCTAAAGCCAAATAATTTCATTCCAACATTTTTCTAATACTCATTAATTTTATGATACTTTTCTAAATGAATTTTTAAAACTTTCTTCCAATCTTCATCCATCGTCTCTTCTTCCTGGTCTCGGGTTTTGTCAGTCCTTTCTATCCCATCCATCTAGTCCATCAGCCTGGTGACCTTATGTCCGAGGCTCTTAAGTCTCTTCCATGTCCCTTCCGCAGGTCTTCTTCATATTTATACCTGTACTTTACTTTGTCTTCTGCTCCTTTCACTCGGGGAGACTCCAGCTTGACAATATTTTTGTCCCTTCTCGACAAGTCAGCCCCTTTTCCATAGTCAACACTGAAATCCATGTGGTATTTAAAGGCATGTTTCAAGGTCCCTCTAAAGTTAAAGGCCCCCACAACTCCGAGCTTCCCCCGGCCCAAAGCCAGACTTGGGTCAAAACATCCCTGCATAGGGGGGTCTATCCAGCCCCCCATCTCCAAGCCAAACTGAACTCCATCTCTCCAAATCTGACTTTTTCCAGGTTCGTTCGTCGAATCCAACAACTCATATTCCTGCTGGGCCACAGCTCCCTCCATCTCTGCCACCCGAGGTCCAGCAACAACCTCCTCCCTCATCTGATCTGTCAAAGCACATTCCTGGATTAATTCCTGAGTGGGTTCTATATAGGTACCCACTGCCTGTCCAAAATTTCCAATCGCAACAGTCATCAAATCCATCTTCTCATGTAACTGTTCCAATAAAGCACTTGTCTTGCAAAAGGCAAGCACCAGAGCCTCCGAGTACATTCTTGTTCAAGGTTGAAGTCTGGTCCCACGATCTTAATCTATTGCAGCTGCAAAGCTCCCCAGTTCGGTTTTAATAACAGTTTCACAAGCTCCCTCTAGGGGAAACAATTTCTATTTGTATCCATCTTTTTTTTTTTTTTTAAGCGGATCTAGCAACAAAGTTTTCCTTTTTCAGATATTTTGTCAATATTTTGTTCCTTTTAAATGCGAAGGGGAACAATGGAATCAATATGTTTCTCTTCTTTTAACTATCTGTCAAAAACGTTTGTCCATAGTCAATGAACTTCCCCAGAACGTCTGTCCTGACACCCCGCTCCCAGGTTCAAGACGGTGGAAAATTGCCTTTCTTTACTCTCTCTTCTGCAGGTTTAAACAGTCTAAAAAAGGTTCCCCCCTCTTCTCCTGCTTCCAAGGGGGGTTCAATAATTTTAAATGATGAAAATTTGATCCTTTACAGACGACTTTCTAAACTCTAGCTTGCCGTGTCTTTGCTTCAATCTATCTACAAAAGCGGAAGGCGGACTTCCTGTTTAGACCTTCCCGCTTCAGTGCCAAATTTAAAAAAAAATTCTTAATCCAATTTTCCGTTCTACTCACGGGCAGTTCTTTAAAATCCAATTGTCCACAGGAAAAAGTCAGCGCTCTCCGGCAACAGCAATGCCACTTCACTCCGTGAAAGAAGCAGTCGATTCAAAGCACCGCGCCACTCACCCCACGTCGCTCCGGATCCCCGAAACTGGGTTTTCCCGCGAGTAGGGGGGGCGCAAAGGTGCCAGCTGAATCCCACGTCCACAGGCTTCTCCCGCCTGTGTTTTTTAATGGGTCTCTGCCTCGCCGTGGCGGTTCAGACCCTGTTTTCCACGGAGTGGATTCCTCCTGATCGGAGGAAATCCGCCATTGCCAGAGGCACCAACCCGGAAAGCCAAAGCTTGTCAAAATATCTTTGTACTGGGGAGACTGCAGAATAAGGCACACTTTATTCCGCATGTGGGAACGTTTTCCAGTGAGAGCCCTTCAGCAGTAGTCCTTGTACAGACAGGACAACTTCATGGATGCTTTAGCTGAGATTCCTGCATTGCAAGGGGTTGGACCTTGGGGGGTTCCTTCCAGCTCTATGATTCTAGGATCTTCACCCTCCTCCCCCAAGTTGACCATACATATATGGTCCACTGGTCTCCTGTCACAATCCTTTCCAGTGGCTCAGCATGGCCAATACAAGCTTATCTCATTTGAGTCTTACAAGAACTCATTGAGATAGTTTATGCTTAGACATCCTGTAGTGGCATCCACTGGTTGAAGCTGGTATAGCATTATGGTCAACAATTCTACTCCTGCCTTAGCAAGGAAAGTAGAGGTAACAGCTTCCGGTAACATAGTCAGATGACTTACTCATCTAGCTGAGTATTGGCTTCAGACTGTAGATATTTCCACCAGTACCTGGAGATACCAGGGATGGAATCTGGAACCTTCTGCATGCCAAACAAATGGTGTACCACTGGGCTCTTCTACTTTTATCTGCAACATGGAACAAGAGCCTGATTCGTAATAATATATTATTTAATAATGTATTAAATAAATGTTTGAAACAGGGGGAGTATCCAATCCCACTCCAATTCCATTCCTTTGTTTTATTGTTCCAGGGTTGTCTCTCCCTGTGTGTCACTCGTCCTGGATTCAGGTTTAACTAGAAAATTTTCTAAACTTTATTCCAAAACTGGAGCAAGGGCTGCTTGCTGCAGCTTTCAGTTCCTTCAGTTAATTTACATCTGTCTCCCCAACCCTGGCCCCTCTCGTTTATAGCTGTGCACATGAAGGTTGATAATGCACTGCAAAATAACAAAACGAAAACAAATGATAAATCTTAATGCCATTGCTTGCTGGTGTATACATGAGCTCCTTCACGATGTAGGTATTCATAAAATCATATCACGGTTGATGTTTTCCAGTAATTTTTATTAAGTGTAAGGGGGAAGGGGAATGCAAAGGAACTGGAAGCTGTGGCAAATTATGCACGCACAATGCTGTGTAAAAAATGTTGCAATGATTAATAGACCATAGTAGAATTTGGTTGGCTGAAAACTGCAGGGGCAAGGAGAAGGCTCTTGTGCCTGGGTCCTGCTTGAGGATTCCCCATAGGCATCTGGTTGGCCACTGTGAGAACAGGATGCTGGACTAGATGGGTCACTGGACTGATCCAGCAGGCTCTTCTCATGCTCTAATGTTCCTGTAAGTGGACTTTAAAGTTCAATAAGGAAGAGCCTGCAAGTCTTCTATAATGGAACCCAATATTCCATCTGCTGAATTATAATGAAGGTGGGGGTGCTGCATTCATTGAGGTGGGATGAGGTGGCAGCGGTGAAATTGGGGCAGCTCAGGGGAAGTGCCCCTAACCTTGCCACCTCCTTCCTTCATCTCTATCCTAACCAGTGTGGTGTAGTGGTTAAGAGGGGTAAACTTGTAATCTGGTGAACCAGGTTCGCTTCCCCGCTCCTCCACATGCAGCTGCTGGGTGACCTTGGGCTAGTCACACTTCTCTGAAGTTTCTCAGCCCCACTCACCTCACAGAGTGTTTGTTGTGGGGGAGGAAGGGAAAGAAGAATATTAGTCGCTTTGAGACTCCTTCAGGTAGTGATAAAGCGGGATATCAAATCCGAACTCCTCCTCCTCCTCCTCTTCTTCTTCTTCTTCTTCTTCTTCTTCTAACAACAAGGGCAGTGCCACCAAAAGGATGCTACTACCTCTGCCCCTTTATGAATCAGGGTAACCATGGTTTACAGCCAATGGTGCAAATAGCACACTAGTTTTTTTTGGGGGGAGGGGGTAGCTGAAAATAATGAGTTAATTGAACTAATGTTTTTTTTTTCTTTCTTACCTCCCCTCTCTCTTTTTTTAAAAGGGGGAAAATGGCGATTTCCCTCCTTTTCTTTTTAATTGCTGGGATCCTGGCTAACAATCTTAACCTTCCAAATTCTGTGAATCCCAGCAGTTACATGAACAGGTGTGACAACTATGATAGCAACCCCCAAGATTTGAACCGCCAAAACCAACCCAATGGAGGAAGAACACAGACTCCAAATCAGGTCCTGGTCAACAGCAATTCAGACTTTGCATTCAAGTTCTTCAGGCAGGTTTCTTCTAATGGAGGCAACAGAGGCAGTCCCTTCAAGAAGAACATCGTCTTCTCTCCCATGTGTATCTCCACAGCTTTTGCGATGCTGGCTTTGGGCGCTAGGGCCAACACCTTAGACCAGATCCTTAGAGGACTTGACTTCAAGCCATCAGAGATTCAGGAGAGGATGATACATGAAGGCTTCCACAACCTCATCTACTCATTAAGCAATGGGGGTTCAGGCCTCCAAATGGAAATGGGGAATTGTCTGTTTGTGCAAAACGAGTTGCATCCACAACCTCAGTTCCTAAGGGAGCTCAGGAACATTTATGGAGGAGAGATCTATATGGAAAATTTTAAGGACACAGCAGTAACTGAGGAGCACATCAATCAATATGTCAAAATGAAAACCCATGGGAAGATTTCTAAGCTCGTCGATGGAGTTGACCCAATTACTGAAATACTACTGGTTAGCTATATTTACATGAAAGGTAAGACAAGCTAATGGGCCTGCCCTGTGATCTCCTTTCCTCACCTTATGGCTAATCCTAGATTCTTGTCATTTTCCACATAGTTCCTAAGTAGAACTTCATCCTGTGTACTGATGTTTGCTTTTGTTTGTGAGGAAGAGAATTTTGGTCAGGCAACAAATTCCTGCTCCACAGTGATTCTATGCAATGGATCTGTTATTAGGTGACCTCAGTAATTACGACTGTGCAAGGCAGCCTCAATTCAGTTCAGAACCTAATTAAATGTTCTAACCCCTTCCTTCCTTCCTTCCTTCCTTCCTTCCTTCCTTCCTTCCTTCCTTCCTTCCTTCTGTAGCACCCTGCTTGTGGTTAACGCTTAGCTGGAATGAAATATTCAACGCAGCAATAGAGAAATTAAAATAATACTTTGTCAGACAAATAAATGAGAGACACAGTGGTATACGGTTACCAAAGCTCTGCCCACTCCAGCCCTGATGGCCAGCACTTATATTTCCTCAGCCCAGCCCCCTTGCTCCTCCTTTGGCTGCCTCTGTCCAATCAGCCTGGTTGAAATTCCTATTGGTTGTTTGCTAGAACCAATCATAAAAGATACACCCATTTCCTATTACCTTTTATGGGAGACAAAGAGCTATATTTCCTTCTATCCATAAATGGCAGACAAGTAGCCATATATCTTATATTTGCCTCGACCAGGCACCTTAATTACCAGATAACCTTTGGCCCCTGCTGCCCCTTTATTCCAAAACAAATGGCTAAAACAGATGGCTCATGGTATTAAATTTTGTCTAAACAGAGATCTTGGGTTCACCTTCTCACACACCATCAATGAAATAAGAATCTAACATAAGAATCTAACATTTCTTACTTTCTAAATCCTTTGCATAATTACATTAAGCCAATATATTTCATACATAACATAGATAGATTTTTAGAAGAAAAGGAACAGTTTCAAAGTAAAAAGGAAACAGCTTCAGAGAGAAGCATCTTCAGTTTACAACTCCCTTTCCCAGCCAGCTGCTGTTCCTATTAGCTCTTGCCCTTTAACCTTATGAAAATATGGCTGAGTCTAATGGGAGGCACCTGGTATTATTTTCTGTTAAACAATAAATTTTACTATTTACCAACTCTTAATTAGTGTTTTTGCAGCTTGATTGTCAGTATGGTCAGTATGACCTTTGCTCCCAGCCTGTAATTCCCTTTTACAACTTTGAGGTACTGCTATAAATCAGGGGGGCCCTGTTCAAGGAGATAAACAACTGCCAAAGTACTTAGCCAGCTGCTCTATGCCTGGCATGAAACATACAAACATTTACAAATATATTTTTTAAGCTCATTTTAAAATGCAGGCCTTGATCTGATGCCTCACTTCCTTCCTTCCTTCCTTCCTTCCTTCCTTCCTTCCTTCCTTTCTTTCTTTCTTTCTTTCTTTCTTTCTTTCTTTCTTTCTTTTTTTCTCTCATTCTGTATGTCTTTCTGTCTTTCTTATGCCCTGCACTTCCAAGGCCAGTAAAATGCCCGGGATTCCTTAGTGTGTTCACTGAAGTTAGTAAAAGTATTTAAAGAGCACTTAGTAAAAGTATTTAAGTTAGGCACAATGACAGAAGGGGGGGGGGAACACAGCAACCTCTGATTTAGATGAAAAAGTGGAACAAATAATTAAATATGTTTCCATATATGAATTATTAGCCAAATACTGAAGTTGTATTCAACCATATACAACCATGAAAAGATATCAGGGTGTTATTCATTAGTGAGGTTTTAGAACTGTTAAATTTAGGTTGGACAAACAGCTAATCAATACAAAACCAAGGCAGTCAAACCACCATGACATCCATAGGATATAATGAGCTGAAAGGTAATTTAAAGGTCATCGAGTCCAACCCCTGAGTAATACATGTGCTTTTACTATTTTTTGTTGAGAGCCTACAGTGCAGGATACAACTACAGTATCTCTGTCAGATAACCATCCAACATCTGCTTAAATCAGAGGTGTTTGTCTGTGTGCGTGTAGAGGAGCATTCATCCATAGAACCCCCTCCTAACTGCAGCCTGAAATGATACAGTTCCATTGTCTCTGGATTTAAGCCGCTTGTTGACTTTGTATTTTGAGATAATGCAAGGAGCAGAGGTCTTAACAGGCAACTCAGTTTTTTTAAAAAATTAACTGGGTACCATAATAATTTATTTGATAAATAGTGTTATAAAAGGGTACACATTGGTGTTTACGTTCCCGCCCCCTGAACTGATTTTTTCAAAAGTGAACTCAGTATACACACCTCAGTTTATGATATCTGTGATTGTTTAGCAGATGCCACTCACAGCCATGTGGGCCCACGTGCAAACTTTTTTGTTTCTTTTAACTATGTCAGCTAACATAGGAGAATCCGATTAAACATCGGGAAAAGCTTTCTGACAGTAAGAGCAATTCGACAGTGGAATGGGCTCCCTTGGGAGGTTGTGATCTTCATTTCCTTGGAGGTCTTTAAGCAGAGGTTGGGTGGCCACCTGTCATGGATGCTTTAGTTGAGATTCCTGCATTGCAGGGGGTTAGACTACATGTCCTTTCGGGTCTCTTCCAGCTGTACAATTCTGTGATTCAATGATTCTATGATCTAGGTTGTGATAAATTACATCATGTACTATAAGTATATTTCAGAGATGGTGAAAGAGAAAGTGTAAGAGGGAGAAAAGCAGAAATATTTTTGAAAGCCAAAAGAAAAGCAAAAGGACAGCTCTAGAGTAAGGGTTGTAGCCAACGCCATTTTCCTTAGCCCCATTGAAATTAATGAACCAAACTAGTCATGTCTATTATTTTCAGGGACTCTACTCAGTAGGACTAACATTGGATACAACTTGGAGAAATGAAAGGTAAAGAGATAGAAGACAAAATCCCATGGACTAAAGATCTAGCCAAGGTCAAGAAATGTTGAGTGTCCTAAAGTACCTGCAGCTTCTTGCATGCAAACAGGTCTATGCAAGAGTAGAATTGTTCCAATGAGTAACAAGTATCTATGGCACTTTTAAAAAAAATATCCCTTTCTTCTTTTCCTTAAGCCAAATGGAAGAAGCCCTTTGACCCAAAGTACACGACAGAGCAGAACTTCTACGTGGATCCTTACACGGTTGTGAAAGTGCCAATGATGTTTCAGATGGGCATGTTTGAAACCGGCTATGACAACGAGCGACTGTGCACCGTTTTGAAGCTGCCTTACAAAGGACATGCCGCTTCCTATTTTATCCTACCTGACAAGGGGCAGATGGAGAGGGTGGCTAACAGCTTGTCGTGTGGAGCTTTGCGGACTTGGAAGAGAATACTCACACGGAGGTAACAGCTTTCAACTTTTGACTCTGGTGTCAGGCAGCTCAGGTTCAGATATATAAGAACAATTGTGGGGTGAGCTTTTGAAGGAAAGGCCTTACTTCAGCAGTGGGGAACCTGAGGCCCTCTCGATGTTGCTGGACTCTAGTTCCCATCAGTCCCAGCCATCCTGGCCAATGGCTAGGGATGAAGGGAGTTGTAGCTGAGCAACTTCTGGAGGTCTACAAGTTCCCCATCCTTGTTTTACTTCAGCAAATGCATGCAGCGGGCGGACATACAACACCCCACAAGTGTCCCAGAAAAAACTGGGACATCCTGTTTTATTGTATGAGAGCATGGCAGATCTTGCCCTGGAAAAGTGTCTTTTGGGTTATGTGATCTCACACAGGTCACATGATTTTGTGCAGGTACACAGCCTGGAAGATGTGCATCTTCCAGTGTTTTGGGACTCAAGATGTTGGACACTCAATGGGACGCGGGTGGTGCTGTGGGTTAAACCACAGAGCCTAGGACTTGCCAATCAAAAGGTCCTGCCAACCTAGCAGTTCGAAAGCACGCTCCGGCGGGAAGGTAAATGGCGTTTCCGTGCGCTGCTCTGGTTTGCCAGAAGTGGCTTAGTCATGCTGGCCACATGACCCGGAAGCTGTACGCCGGCTCCCTCGGCCAATAAAGCGAGATGTGCACCGCAACCCCAGAGTCGGTCACGACTGGACCTAATGGTCAAGGGTCCCTTTACCTTTAAGAAAGCTGATGGCAAGGATGGAAAATTTGTGGTCCCATTCCTCCCCCTCCCCCAGTGTTGGACATAAAGCAAAACCAGACAGCCTTTGGGGCACTTCAGACTGAGGTGGCCTTTGTGACAAAGTACAGATCAGGGTCCAAATTGTACCTTTGTTGCTGGTGCACACTCTTTGTTAAGCAGCCCTTCCTGGCGTTTGGTGTTCAGGTAGCCTGCCTCTACACATGGAGATTAGGAAGCTGTCTTCTGGGAATATAGCAGAATATAGTGCAGATTTCGCACTCATTTTCATGTTACATGCTTCCAGAAGATAAGCATTTTCAAATAATGCAGAATGAGCCCTAAACTTGAGCCAGATTTCTGAAAGTGGTTTTTTTACATTGCATGAAAGCTGAAATCAAATGCAGAAATTAACAGACAGGGAAATGTTGGGGAAATGGAATAAACTGCCGTGAGAATGCAGCCTGGGTTTGCACATGAGAATAGGGAGGTAACATGGATGGTTTCACTTTGGACTACAGGTGAGGGTACCACTTTTGAACACTCCCCCATACAATTGCCCCTCCTTGAAAATAGAAAGCTAGCCTGGCAGGGAAAAAAATTTCTAGCTCAGTCCTTAGCCTGCTCTGCTGGATCTCTCTTTGCAAGGATTTTTACATGTAATGGTACATTATAGAGAGATAGATAGCCACCCATCTACATTCTGAAGTAGGGGAAGCCCATTTTACCACTTCATTCTGCTGTATAATATACACAGCCTAATATGCATGGTATTTTCTCATATGATTAATAAATTCTTCTTTGTCTTTCTCCCTTGTTTTATTCTTGAATAGCTCTGTAGATGTGTATCTTCCGAGATGCTTGGCGAGTGGAGAGCTTAACCTGAAAGACATAATGTACACCATGGGTGTGGTTGATGTATTCACTGACAGAGCAGACCTGTCTGGAATTACAGGGCAGCCTCAGCACAGGCTCTCGGGCGTAAGTTGGGGCTTTTATTTGTGAATGAATACGGTAGAAGCTGTGAAGGCTTGAATTTCTGCATCTGCATATCACCAGGCTAACTTGTTTCAGCATCATGGTGTCCTTCAAAAAATCCAGGTGTTGTCATTTGGTGAGAGTGGTAAACATTTTCTGTTAGTTAGCCCCAGGACAAAGAACTCAGGGCCTCTAAAAGAACTCAAAGTTCCTAGAGATTCTGATAAACAATGGAATGACCTGTTCTACCACTTTAAGACAACTATGGCATGTAGATAATGGACAAAGTTCCAGCTACCTTGCACAGTAAATTCCAAATCCTTGGATACCAAGGAATTTATATGTGTACCTGGCAGGGCAATCTTATACATATTTTGCCCACTGTGGGCTTGATCTCTGCTAAGTCTGTTTAGGGACACAGTCTTTGGCTGGATCTACACTGACCTTCTTAACGTGGTGTAGTGGTTAAGAGCGGTAGTCTCGTAATCTGGGGAACCGGGTTCACGTCTCCGCTCCTCCACATGCAGCTGCTGGGTGACCTTGGGCCAGTCACACTTCCTTGAAGTCTCTCAGCCCCACTCACCTCACAGAGTGTTTGTTGTGGGGGAGGAAGGGAAAGGAGAACGTTAGCCACTTTGAGACTCCTTAAAGGGAGTGAAAGGCGGGATATCAAATCCAAACTCTTCTTCTCTTCTTCTATTAGAACAATATTAGATATATCGTTCTAAAATGTCACATGGCATACTGGTAGATTAAACACACTCCTCCTCCCTCATCATCAGGAAAAATGGTGTTTATGTGTGTCTTCTGTGTGTGCTCATATAAGTGTGTTCACTACCTTGTTTTGTCCATCACATCACACTTTTTCCTATTGCCAGTTCCTGGGTGCCCTCTGGTGTCACTTTTTAATAACGTAACTTCCCTGGGGAGAAGTACTAAAATGCTGGTGAATTTTCACAGGAAATTGGAAGGGACTTGCATGGAGACAAGGAAACTTGTGAAAACTGGCACTTTTGCAAACAGAACCCTTTTGCAAGCTCAGGATCCAACCCTGTGTCAGGAAGCATACAATGCGCACCTGGTTTTTCTTGATAAGTTGCTTTGAGCATTTGTTTTCTTTGGTCTAAAGCAACTAACAAATGTAATAAATAACAAAGACAACCCTAGTGCCACTCAAGTTGATTCTTTCCCCCTCCCAAACCCCCACCAATTTTGGTGGCAGTGGCAAAGAAGAAGAAAGAAAAGAAGTAGACTCACCGCTGGCGTGGACAACCCGATGGTGATGCAAATCACCTCCTCCCTCATCATCAGGAAAAATGGTGTTTGTGTGTGTCTTGTGTGTGTGCTCATATGAGGGTGTGTGTTCGAGAGTGTGGGGCTTCTGCCTCTTGGAAGTTTGGGCATATGAGAACGCTTCCCTCAATCTCAAAAAACTGTGAGCCACCCCTAGTCCAAGAAAACGCATTTGCATTTTATCCATCCATTGGCAGCATGACATTCTCTCCCCCCCCCCAATCTTTCCTTTGCACAGGCCCTTCATAAGGCTATGATGATGATAGATGAGAGAGGGACAGAAGCAGCAGCAGCCTCTTCTATGGACATGGTGCCAATGTCTATGCCTACTATCGTTAAGTTCAACGAGCCTTTTATAACCATGGTTGTTGATGAACCTACTAACAGTATCCTCTTCATGGCGAAGATCTTCAATCCTACAGAGAAGTAGCTGTAGACCAAGATCACCAGACTGTTAATCAGCATGTACTCAATAAACTAATTGGTTTGATCAGCACTGAATTGACTTGCTTATTGTATCTCCAGTTCAGCTGCACTACTGGGTTACTTGGGGAGGAAAGGAAGGGCAAAAGGCCAACTGGTGTCAACAAATCAGCATTACCTGCAAATTTGGGAACAGTACCTTGTGATGTGGTAGCTTCAGACCCATTCTATCACCCTATTTATATATATATCGGCTGCCCAAATAGATGAATCCCTAGTGCAGGGGAGGGGAACATTTTTCAAATCAAGGTCAGCGTTCCCTTCTGGGCATCCTGGGACAGGGCAAGTGCTTGTGATGGGCAGGGCCAGAGGCAAAGATTCAGCAATGAATGCAAATATGATATTTGCACAGCAGGCTAGTTTTTACATGCATACACCTTTCTGTTTGTTGGATTAATCCATCAACCTCTGATGGATGATTTAGATGGATGTGTGTGTGTGCCAGTATCCATACTCGGCAGAGTTACATCTCAACACAGCTCCTTCCTTGGAAGCATCTTCGGGGTTGAAAGTACACCAGTAGGCAATAAACACTCATGGACGCCACAAAGATTCAGTCAAGTGTAGAGGTTTACTTGACAGGCATAAAAGCATATTGGTAGCAAATGTATACAGACATTCACCACTGCCATGGTCAAAGCATGCTTAGAGTCCAACAAGAGTCCAAGACTCCCTCTCTGCTTCTCCCACCACAAGGTGCAAGCAAGAGACTCGTTACAAGTTACACAGAACCGTTATCAGTACTTCCTGTCACACTGCGCATGTCCAAAGAACAGTTCCCACAGAAAACATCCTTGCTACCTTGGCTCCCAGTATGTTTCCAAGCACAATTCAAAGTATTGGTGCTGACCTTTAAAGCACTAAATGGCCTCGGTCCAGTATATCTGAAGGAGCGTCTCCACCCCCATCGTTCTACCCGGACACTGAGGTCCAGCACCGAGGGCCTTCTGGCAGTTCCCTCCATGCGAGAAGCCAAGTTACAGGGAACCAGACAGAGAGCCTTCTCGGTAGTGGTGCCCGCCCTGTGGAACGCCCTTCCACCAGATGTCAAAGAGAACAACTACCACCAGACTTTTAGAAGACATTTGAAGGCAGCCCTGTTTAGGGAAGCTTTTAGTATTTGATGCATTACGGCATTTTTATATTTTGTTGGAAGCCACCCAGAGTGGCTGGGGAAGCCCAGGCAGATGGGCGGGGTATAAATAATGTATTATTATTATTTTAGACAAAACAGTCTCAGCCTTCTGCTTCTTCTTGAAACTTATTCTCTTGTTTCTGGAACAAATGATTCTCATACAGAGAGAATATCCAACACTGTTCTCCAATCAGGAAAGCAAGGGTCATTACCTGGGAAGAGTCCTAAAGCCCCTGCCGAATCTGGACTAGATGGTCCATTGGCCTCATCCAGCTGTTCTTATGAATTATGAGTTGACAAGGGCCAAAATTTGATGCAATGCCCCACCCCCTTGCAGTACTGGTAAGGAGGTGCAAGGCTCTGGCAGAGTCCTAGAGTCCTACCTCCTTCTCCAAACTGTGCAAGTGCTGGCTAAGCTTTGGGAAGGAGGCAGGAGGAACCTAGGACCCTGACAGAGCCTTCACACCTCCTTCCCAAAGCCCAGCACTTACTAGGCTTTGGGAATAAGGTGGGTAGGTGCCTGCTTGGCTCCCAGTGCCCTGTGCAGGAGAACTGGTTGCAAATAATGCACATGTACAATAAGTGTGCATGTGTGTACAACAACTGCATGTAGGCTCAGGATTGCAGCATCTCAGGGCCACAATACTTTAAGGACTACTGGTCCCCAGATTAACAGACCCTGCAATAATCCTCTGAAGTCCTTTCTTGTGGATGTCCTCCACAATGGGTCTGGAGGGCGGCAACATGAGAACAGGTCTTTTCTGAAGTGGTTCCTTATTTGTGGAATGCTCTCCCAGGGAGGCTCACCTGGCGCCTTCATTACATATCTGTAGGTGCCAGGCAAGATATTTATACGCCACCCATTTGACTGGGTTGCCCCAGCCACTCTGGGTGGCTCCCAACAAAAAATATTATTTTATTATGTATGTTGTGTTCTCATTTTGTATTTTTCTCCTGTAAACCACCTTGTGATTTAGTGATGAAGGACAGTACACAAATGATGATGGTGACAGTGATGTATCATTCATTTGTATTTATAATAGTGAATATTAGTCATACTGTTGTTTATGCATGCATATATGGGATGGATGAAACCATATGTGTGAACCAGAATGAATGAATGAATAAAATACATTTGTATACCGCCCTGTATCCACAGGTCTCAGGGTGGTTTTCAAGATGAGATCACAATATGATACACAAAATAAATGCTCAAAATAAAAACAAAAACAACCCAATAACCCCCCTAATACTAGCTACATCATAATATTAGCTACATAATTTGGTACGTTAAAATAAAAATCTTACTTTGCAAACGAACAAAAATGCTCTGATTGGCTCCCAGCTAACTGTTATAGCATATTATCATTAGGTGGTCATGTTGCTTATTTTAATTTTCTCTGTTTAGAAACAAATTTTATTTTTCTTTTTTTATAAGATATTTATTAAGGTTTTTTAAGATATTACAGTGAAAATGAAAAAGAAAAAGAAAAATACAAAATAAAAACAGTTAAAAACACACATACAGTGGTGCCCCGCAAGACAAATGCCTCGCAAGACGGAAAACCCGCTAGACGAAAGGGTTTTCCGTTTTTGAGTTGCATCGCAGGACGAATTTCCCTATGGGCTTGCTTTGCAAGACGAAAATGTCTTGCGAGTCTTGAGATTTTTTTCCCGCTCCCCTCCCTTTTTCTAAGCCGCTAAGCCGCTAATAGCCTTTTAGCAGCTAAGCCGATAAGCCGATAAGCCTTTAATAGCCGCTAAACCGCTAATAGCGCTAATCCGCTAAGCCGCTAATAGGGTTGCTTCGCAAGACGAAAAAACAGCTAGACAAAGACACTCGCGGAACGGATTAATTTCGTCTTGCGAGGCACCACTGTATTTTCTATTACTTATTTTCCTTTAGCTTGTTTCCTGGACCTCCTCGTACCTCCCTTTTTTGTATTCCACTTCAATTTATTGGTTCAGCAAATCCTTACCATTAGATTTTAACCCATTTATAACCCTTTTTTCATATTCTCTTAGAACATTACAGCTGGAAACCGCTTAATTACTATCCAACATCATTCTATCATTCATTAATTTTACAATATTTCTGTAAATAGTCTTTAAATTTCTTCCAATCTTCTTCCACCAACTCTTCTCCCTGGTCTCAGATTCTGCCAGTCATTTCTGCCAATTCCATATAGTCCATCATCTTCATCTGCCATTCTTCCAAAGTGGGTAGATCTTGTGTCTTCCAATACTTTGCAATGACTATTCTTGCTGCTGTTGTAGCATACATAAAAAAAGTTCTGTCCTTCTTTGGCACCAATTGGCCGACAATGCCCAGAAGAAAGGCCTCTGGTTTCTTCAAGAAGGTATATTTAAATACCTTTTTCAGTTCATTATATATCATTTCCCAGAAAGCCTTAATCCTTGGGCACGTCCACCAAAGGTGAAAGAATGTACCTTAAGTTTCTTTACATTTCCAGCATTTATTGTCGGGCAAATGATAGATTTTTGCAAGCTTGATTGGGGTCATGTACCACCTGTATATCATTTTCATAATATTCTCTCTTAGGGCATTACATGCCGTAAACTTCATACCTGTGGTCCATAACTGTTCCCAGTCAGCAAACATGATATTATGTCCAACATCTTGTGCCCATTTAATCATAGCAGATTTCACCGTTTCATCCTGAGTATTCTATTTCAACAGCAAGTTATACATTCTTGACAAATTCTTAGTTTTGGGTTCTAACAGTTCTGTTTCTAGTTTTGATTTTTCTACCTGGAAGCCAATTTTCTTATCCAAATTATATGGCTCCATTATCTGATAATAATGAAGCCAATCTCTCACTTTGTTTTTTAGTTTCTCGAAACTCTGCAATTTCAATTTGTCTCCTTCTTGTTCCAAAATTTCCCAATATTTCGGCCATTTGGCCTCCATATTGAGCCTTTTCAGAGCTTTCGCTTCCATCGGTGACAACCACCTTGGGGTTTTGTTTTCCAATAAATCCTTGTATCTTATCCAAACATTAAACAGCGCTTTCCTGACAATATGATTTTTAAATGCTTTATGTGCTTTGACCTTATCATACCATAAATATGCATGCCATCCAAATACGTTGTTAAAACCTTTTAAATCCAAAATGTCTGTATTTTCAAGAAGTAGCCATTCTTTCAACCAGCAAAAAGCTGCTGATTCATAATAAAGTTTAAAGTCTGGCAGGGCAAATCCACCTCTTTCCTTTGCATCAGTTAATATCTTAAATTTTATTCTGGGCTTCTTGCCCTGCCAGACAAATCTAGAAATATCTCTCTGCCACTTCTTGAAACAGTCCATCTTGTCCACAATTTGCAATGTCTGAAACAAAAACAACATTCTAGGCAATACATTCATTTTTATCACAGCAATACGACCCAACAGTGAAAGCTTCAAATTTGACCAGATTTCTAAATCTTTTTTCACTTCCGTCCAACATTTTTCATAATTATCTTTAAATAAGTTCCCATTTTTGGCTGTCATATTAATCCCCAGGTATTTCACTTTCTTAACCACAATCAGGCCTAGAAACAAATTTTCTTCCACTTGAATGAGTGTCTGTGGCCTCCTCCCCATCCTCCATACACACAACCATTTAGGATGGGAAAATGCAAGCAGTCCCATATCTCAGGTCATCAATACTGCATAGGATGGCCTGTTGAAAGCACCTTGGACAGACCTGCCCCTTGAAATACTTTTATTTTTTACCTTAAAGGTTAAGTTACAATAATTATTAATACCAATAGTTCAAATACCGAATTATATAATTTAGATAAAGTGTCCCCCTGCATGCTAGATTGGATGAATTGATTATTTGTTTTATTTCTGCATTCGAAAATCTTATTAATTTCTATTACATTCCAGTCATAATAATCCCTTATACAGCAACTGCAATATTAATAACTTCTATTCGTGTTGGCATATTCAGTGATTTATAAAGCTACAAGTAAGGAACTCAAGCTATATCCTTGTAATTCCTGTGTGTTGCAATTGTTCTATCCGAGGTGTTTCTTCCTGTCCTTATAAGATGTTATGTCTTTCTTTCCCCCAATTGTTGCTGTTATCCAGCAGGCCTTGGGCAGAGCTGATTTCCTATTGTTGTTCCAGAATTTTCTCCATTGCTGTGTCCCGTGCTTTGTTGTTTTGCAGCTTTAACAACAGCTGCAAAAGTCACTCTGTCCCAATAAATAACCTGCTTTTCACCATTTTCTCTCTCAGTCTGGGAAGACGAGCGGTCTGCCAGACCTCATATATCTATCTATATTAGACAGTGCATTCCTGTACAAAGAAGAAGAAGAAGAAGAGTTTGGATTTGATATCCTGCCTTTCACTCCCCTTCAGGAGTCTCAAAGCGGCTAACATTCTCCTTTCCCTTCCTCCCCCACAACAAACACTCTGTGAGGTGAGTGGGGCTGAGAGACTTCAGAGAAGTTTGACTAGCCCAAGGTCACCCAGCAGCTGCATGTGGAGGAGCGGGGAAGTGAACCTGGTTCACCAGATTACGAGTCCACCGCGCTTAACCACTACACCACACTGGCCCATATACTCTAAATATTATTTTTTGCATAATCAACTTCATGTTCAGGGAAATATTCTGTACAGCTTCTAAAGCACTTTTCTATTGTTTATGCTGTATACTATTCTCTAATTCCCTGTTCCAAATTTCTCTAACTATGCATTTAGCATTTATAAACAGTGGTTATAGGTTGAATTTTCTGTAAAAATCCAGTAATTCTCTCCAGCAGTATAGGAAATGCTGAAGCACTCAAAGCAGATAGGCCATAAAAATACACCAACAGATGTTGTAATTGAAAATATTGTCATTTTTCATTCATGGTTAATTGATACCTTAGCTGCAGAACAGGAAGTGATTAAAATTATCCATCTGAGCTTATCAACTGATCTAATGCATATATGCCACATTCCACCCATTTCTCCCAAAAAGACTGTCTCCTGGTCTTCTGATCTGGGTTATCTCACAAGGTTAATTTAGCATGAGCATTTGGATCAGCTGGTAGCTGAAGAGCCAATTTATACCATGTGAGCTGACTTATTAACATGAATGACGACCTTGAACCTCCCCAATTTGCTTTGTTACGCAAGGAGCTATTGTACATTAACATATTTGCAAGGCAGATGATGTGAAACACTCTCAAAACAACCCCTTTGTTTTGGTTTGTTAATCAGAAAATCAAACAATAGAAGCCATTATTTAGATAATAAATAACTTGAGGCAACATGAAAAAGCTGGAGAGGTGGGGAAGCAGGCAAGTTCATCCTGCTGGCTCTGACTTCTCAGTATTGTCTCCCGTGTCTTTTCTGCTGATTAAAAAGGTCTTCAATAACCTTCTGTGCTCAAAGCAGATGCTCTACCATTGAGCTGGAGTCCTTCCGCAAAGGAAAACTGTCCAAACTGTTGCAATCTCATAAAGGTCAGAGAGATGGGGAAACTGAGTTAGGCAAGTGGGCTAGACCAGCTCTAACTTCTGATAGGCATCTCTCATGTCCTTCCTTTGTTTAAGAAACTATTCGGAGAATGTATGGCAATGCTGCTGATGCTGTAGCATGATGCTGCAGAATATGATTGGTTATTTGGGACACTTAATTGAGGGAGTGGCTTGTTGACCACTGAGGTTGCATTGGACTTCATTGAGGATTTTTCCATATAAGTATCAAGTAGTCAAGATTCAGAGCACATAGAAGCAGGACGTCTGAGTGAGAAAGACCACCTTGCACTCTCAATCACTGTCAAACTTCAGGTACAACACTGGGTACTTTGCTGGAACTCTCACAGTGGGAAACAGATCATCATATGATCTATAAAGGTAACATACAATACTATGTTTTAAAATGGTTTTTTAAAAATCTGTGAGTTGCTTGTTGCCAGAATGTTTTCCTGCTGTCCTGGCAAACACCTATTGAATTTCTTAAATCTTAACTTGGTATGTGTGCTTCTGGGCCAGGGGGATGCAAAAGCAATACTTTCATTAGCCCAGCGCTACAAGGATGAATGTTAAGGAGTGTACTTGTGGGGTGTGAGCAAACGTTTGAGGTGATCCTATGCAAAGGACGAGGTAAAAAAGGTAAAAAAGGTAAAGGACCCCTGGATGGATAAGTCCAGTCAAAGGTGACTATGGGGTTGTGGTGCTCATCTCGCTTTCAGGCCAAGTGAGCAGGTGTTTGTGCACAAACAGCTTTCTGGGTCATGTGGCCAGCATGACTAAACCACTTCTGGCACAACAGAACACAGTGATGGAAGCCAGAGCGCACAGAAATACCATGTACCTTCCCACTGCAATGGTACCTATTTATCTACTTGCACTTGCATGCCTTTGAACTGCTAGGTTGGCAGGAGCTGGGACAGAGCAACGTGAGCTCACCTTGTCCTGGGGATTCGAACCGCTGACCTTCTGACTGGCAAGCCCAAGAGGCTCAGTGGTTTAGACCACAGTGCCATTATACCCATTGCAACTGAGGTCATTCCTTTCAGTTATTAACCTGTTTCTCATATGTACAAGGTGATTCAAATCAATGTTTCAAATTAGCCTTTTAATGGAACCCCAGCTTGAGATTAAACTTGCCTGAATTTAAACCAATCCACTCTTGATTAAAACAATGTTCCATAGACGGCCAGCACAACTCCAATTTGTCACAGAAATATTATTTTAAATTGGGAAAGTATGCACTATTTGCAGTGCCAGCAAACCACATCACCTTCTTAGGGTGAGATGAAGATAAACTTTGAATTATTAGCATGAAATTCCAGGCTCTGGCTTGCCAGTCAGAGATTTGAATCATGCAAATTGAACAAATAACTACTGACTGATGAGCTTGGCATTGATACCAGGAAAGGTCCTAGAACAGATAACGAAACATAGACATAGAAAAGGATGCTGTGATTACTAAAACCCAACATGGGTTTCTCAAAAACAAGTCATGACAGATGAATCTCATTTCATTTTTAAAAAAATATATAAACTTACAAGCTTGGTGGATCAGGGGAATGCTGTGGATGTAGTGTATCTTGATTTCAGTAAGGCTTTTGACAAAGTTCCCCATGATATTCTGCATTATATTCTATATATATATATATATATATATATATATATATATATATATACACAGAGAAGCTGGTAACCTGTGGGCTGCATGAGATAACTGTTAGGTGGATTTGTAGCTGGTTGACTGACCAAACTCAAAGAGTGCTCACTAACAGCTCCTCACCATCCAGGGGAAAAAAAGGGACAAGTGGGGTCTGCAGGGTTCTGTCTCCAGTTTGTTGTTGAGGGGATGCTTATTAAATTTGCAAATGACACCCAACTGGGAGGGGGAACTAATGCTGCAGAATACAGAACAGATTGGAGAACTGGGCTCAACCATAGGGAGGTTCTACACTTAGGTAGGAAGAACCAGCTGCACAAATATGAGATGGTGGATGCCTGGATTACTAGTAGTACAGGTGAAAAGGATCTAGGGGTCTTAGTAAACCACAAGCCTAGCATGAGTCAACGGTGTGATGCAGCAGCAAAAAAGCCAAATGCTATTCTAGGCTAGTCTCAGCAATGAGATAGGATCCACCACTGAACGGACTCCCATAGGTCAATCATCATAAAAAATGCCATCTGGAAAGCAAACACCTCAAGAGAGTTTCCTGTGTTCAGACATAATACCAATCCATGGCTTGTTTGGGTGGATGTTATGTTTGATGCGCCTCTTACTGATGTATCCAGACACCATGTCTTCTTTCTTCAGAACTTTCTTTGCTTTTCTATTTTCTTGTCTCATGTGTCTGTAGGTTGGCAATTGTATGGAGCTTGGGGTAGTGGCAAACAAAGCATGGTTAAACATGGCTCGGGAGTTCAGGCACAATGCCAAACAACAGTTAAAGCAAGTCCTGGTCTGTAAGGCAAGCAGTCTGTGGTTTGCTGCCCAAAACAAACCATGGTTAGTCTGCACTAGGTTCAGACATTCAAACAAACCACATTCTGGCTCAACAAACCACAGATTGGCTTTATATGCAAACTAGGCAATGACTATATTATTGTCACTGGATCTAGTAACAGAAATGTCATTCTTTACAGGTTACTTTCAGAGGAACACAATGCCTCATTTCAATCTGTATTTGATTTTTGCTGGACTCTTAGCTGTTGCTAACTGTCAGACCAGTCAACCAGGCAATTTACCCTATGAGAAGATAGCCCCAGGGAATACTGAGTTTGCCTTTAAATTCTACCGCCAGGTTGCTCCAGAGGCTCATAAGAAAAACATTTTATTTTCTCCTATAATCATTTCCATGCCCTTGGCTTTGCTGGTGCTGGCAGCCAAATCTACCACTCGGAGTCAGCTTTTGTCAGGACTTTGCTTTAACCAGACAGATATCAGCGAGCAGGAAATTCATAGAGGTTTCCGTCATCTTATCCAGAAGCTAAACAGTACTGAGGCCGAAATCCAACGGAGCATTGGGAATACCCTTTTCCCAAATAAGAAATTTAAGCTGCGGAAAAAGTTCTTGAATAATGTCAAATATTTTTATCAGGCTGATGTTCTTCCTACTAACTTCGAGAATGCTACAGAAGCCGAGAACCAAATCAATAACTACATAAAGGAGAAAACCCATGGAAAAATAACTGATATTGTCAAGGATCTTGATACAAGAGCTATATTGGTTATTATAAGTTTTCTTTACATGAGAGGTAAGTCAGATGGAGTTTACTTTATTATTATTGCAGGGTTTTGTAACTAACTTAAAATGTCCACTGCTTAAGCACTAGTGCTAGATACTGCTCAATCTGTTGTATCTGTTGCAGGAGAGCCAACTTGAATAAAATACTGGGGGGCCCAGGTAAGTCTTGCCCCACCAAATTGAGCACATGGCAGAGCACATGCAGACCATTTGAATGGCAATGTCTATCAACTTGAGGGCAGGGGAGGAAAAATGACCTTCTCCAATGGTATTGCCCTGCTGGTAATAACTAACCTTCAACATTATCACTCTTTCTGCTTGTAATGAGATGGGTTCATTTGGGAAGAAGAGCTACAGAAACTGCGTTCAGCATAGCATGTAGTCTCCCGCCACCCTGGAGCTTTCCCTATTGGCTCAGAATAAGGCAAATACCATGGGTTTCTTCTGTATTCAGATGAATACTGAACCAAACCATGAGGGCAGACAGATTTGGGCCTTGTCAGACTAGAAGCAGGATGCATACAAGGTGGGATAATTCAAAGCAGGGCCCCTGAAGAACTCTGTAGTGCTTTGCAGATTCAGCTCTTTAAAAAAGAAAAAGAAAGCTTCTCGCGAGCATCAGCTAAAAAGTTGAAATATACTCAGAGTCGAGTGTGGATTTCATGCTCTTTATTCAGCTCATAGTAATGAGGAATGAAAGTTCCCCCACAATATCTGCTTTATATACATTATTTACACAATGGGCCGCACGTGATTGGCTAATTCCAGGATTCTCCTGTAGGCCAATCAGGTTGTGGATTCACTTCCTCCTGGAGCTGGATTAGGTGGCTCCTGTGGACCAGTCATACTGCTGCATTGTTCTAGGACCAATCAGACTGCTGCATTTTGGATGCTATTTAACTCAGTACATAACAAAAGTGTATTCTCTTAACTTCCTGCGTACATAATTATTCCTGGGTTAAATGATGGGGGAAGGGAAAGCAAAAGGTGAGGGAAGAAAGAGCTCTATTGTGATTAATAGGTTAAACTTGTAATTGGGGCAATACTGTGGTACCTCGGGTTACATACGCTTCAGGTTACAGACTCCGCTAACCCAGAAATATTACCTCGAGTTAAGAACTTTGCTTCAGGGACTTCCGGGGTGGCGCCATCGGCAATGGCGGACTCCCTCTGAACTGGAGGGACTAGCTCCGCGGGAAACGGGTCTTCTCCGCTACGGCGAAGCGGGGACCCTTTCAAAAATCACAGGCGGATGAAGCCTGTGACCATGGGACTCGGCGGGCACCTTTAGCGCCCCCCCCAACTCACTAAGGAACCCACTAACGGGCTCCGAAGTGAAGAGGGGGAAGTGGCGCGGTGCTGTGAGTCAACTGCTATTTCCGTGGAGCGAAGCCGCATAGCTGTTGCCGGAGAGTGCTGCCTTTTTCCTGGGACAATTTGGACTCTAAAATAAGCACCTGTGAGTACTTAGACTTTGAACAACTGGACATTAGATGGGGACTTGCGAGCAGAAAGGAATTGGATCTTAAAAATCTATTTCAATTTGGTACGGAACGGGAAGGTCTAAACAGGAAGTCAGCCTTCCGTTCTTCTGTAGACAGAATAAAGCAAAGACAACGTAAACTAGAGCTTAGAAAATTGCTTTTAAAGGATTGAATTTCATCATTTAAAATTGTGGAACCCCCCTTCGACAGCAGGAGAAGAAGGGGGATCTTTTTTGGACTGTTTAAAGTGAGTTTAAAGTAAAGCAACTTTCCTCCGTCCTGATCCTGGAGCGGGGTGTCAGGACTGACGTTTGAAGTTCATTGACCAGAGACAAACGTTTTTGACAGATAGCTAAAAGAAGAGAAACATAGTGATTCCACTGTCTCCCTTCGCATTTTAAAGGAACAAATATTGACAAAGTATCTCAAAAAGGGAAACTTTGTTGCAAGATCAAATAGAAGTTTTCCCCCTAGAGGGAGACTGTGAAACTGTAACCAACTCCAGGGAGCCGGCAGCTGTTTACAGATTACAATCGTGGGAATAGGCATTTGACCTTGCAGGACAATGTATTCAGAAGCTTTGTTGTGTGCTTTCTACAAAACAAATGCCCTACTGGAACAGTTACATGAGAAGGTGAATTTGATGACGACTTCGACTAGAAATTTTGAACAGGCAGTGGGAAATTTTGAACAGACAGTGGGAAAATATGTGGAGCCCACCCAGGAATTAAATCAGGAGTGTGTCCTGACAGAACAGGCCCAACAGGAATATGAGTTTTTTGGATTTGACAAATGAACTTGGAAAAAGCCAGATTTGGAAAGAAAAAGTTTGGTTTGGCTTGGAAATGGGGGGCTGGATTGACCCCCCCTATGCTGGGATGTTTGGACTTTTCAAATCTGGCAATGGGCCGTGAGATGTTTGGGATTGTGGGGGCTCTTAATTTTGGAGGGTCTTTGGAACATGCTTCTAAATACCATATGGAATTCAGTGCTGAATATGGAAAAGGGGCTGATCTGTCAAGAAGGGTTAAAAATATTGCCAAGCTGGAGTTACCACGAGCAGGAGACAAGGGAAAATACAGTTACAAATATGAAGAAGAGCTGCAAAGGGACATGGAAGAGACTTGAGGGCCTCGGATATAAGGTTGCCAGGTTAATGGGCCAGATCGATGGGATAATAAGGACTGACAAAACCCGGAACCAGGAGGAAGGGACGTTGGATGAAGATTGGATCTGTTTGTATTTCTTTTTTCTATCATTAGAACTGTTTTATAAAATTGATGAATGTCAGAAAAATGTTGGAATGAAATTACTCGGCTTTAGTAAAGATGTTTAAAGAATTATGAAAGAATATTATGGTTATGAGAAGTTGGTAAGGATAAGATTTAAGTTTTAAGCTTTAAGGTTTATTTTCTTATAGAAAGATAAGATTAAAACTGTTTAGGGTAATGTAATGACAGAATATTATGAAATATGGAAAGGATTTGCTGGGATAATTAATAACTAGGATACAAAGAAAGGGAGGAGGAGGAGGTCAAAGAAAGAAGGTAATGACAGTTGAGGATTCGAGAATAATGAATTTGTCTTTAAATGTTCTTAAATTGTATTTTTGTTTTTTTTTCTGTCTTTTTTCTTATTTTTGAATTTGTCTTCGTATGGTTGGAAGGGTTTTTTTTTTAACTTTGTTAACTATTTTTATTTTGTATTTTCTTCTGCTTTTATTTTATGTTGTAACACTTTGAAAATTTCAATAAATATTTTATTTAAAAAAAAAAGAACTTTGCTTCAGGATGAGAACAGAAATCATGCTCCGGCGGCGTGGCGGCAGCAGGAGGCCCCATTAGCTAAAGTGGTGCTTCAGTTTAAGAACAGTTTCAGGTTAAGAATGGACCTCCGGAACGAATTAAGTTCTTAACCTGAGGTACCACTGTAGTTTTAACTGGAAAGCAAATCCCTTTTAGTTGTCCCTCCATGTCTTATTAAAAGTGTGCAGCACAAAGGACCCTGGCCCAGTTTGTTCACAATTTGGCAGGTGTCTGATCAAATGGCAGCTCTCTCATACTTGCAAAGGTCAGACCCACAAAGCACTACAGGATATTTAAGTGACTCATTTTTTTTGCCCACCCCAGAATTGTAACATCAGCCTTTGCTGGAAATAACACAGCATCTGTCCTTTTGAAATTTTGCAGGAAATTTTGCATGTGATCTTGCCTGCAAATTCCATTCAATTCCCCACCACTACCACCATAAGAATGTTAATGGGAATTAGTTGCAACTTTGTAGACTTTATCAATGTTAGAGAGGCTGTTATGCATACAAATTCCATCACGTTCTAGCAAAAGGGGGGGGAGAGTTACAATCACTGTTGTTCTTCAGATAATGAAGGGGAGGTGGACTAAGGAGATAGACTGACAGCTGAATCAAGCAGGTTACAATGAGACTTCTGGGTTGGTGCCTCCGGTAATGGTGGAATTCCTCTGATCGGGAGGAATTTGCTCCGTGGGAATTTGGGTCTGGCCGCCACGGCGAAGGCGGAGACCCGCAAAAAATCACAGGCGGGAGAAGCCTGTGAACGTGGGATTCGGCGGGCACCCTTTGTGCCTCCCCTACTTGTGGGGAAACCCAGTTTCGGGGGTCCGGAGCGACGTGGGGTGAGCGGCGCGGTGCTTCGAATCGTCTGCTTCTTCCACGGAGTGAAGCCGCATAGCTGTTGCCGGAGAGCACTGACTTTTTCCTGTGGACAATTTGACTTCAAAGTAATTACCCGTGAGTAGAGCTGAAGCGGGAGAATTGGATTTTTAAACGTTTAATATGGTATCGAAACGGGGAGGTTCAATACAGGAAGTCCACCTTCCCCTTTTGTAAATAGACTGAAGCAATGAGGCTGCAAGCTGAAATCTTGGAAAGCCTTTTGTAAAAGACTAAATTTCCATCGGTAAAGAACATTAACCCCCTCCCCCTTGGAGGCAGGAGAAGAGGGGGGAAGTTGTGGACTGAGTATGCCTGCAGGAGAGAGTGAAGAGAGCTAAAATACCGCCGCTCTGACCCTGGAAACGGGCTGCTAGCAGGACTGATGTTTTTTGGATTGTTCATTGACAGCATTTAGAACGTTCATTGACAGTTAGCTAAATAAGAGAAATACATTGTTTCTACTGTCTCCGGCTGCTTTTAAAAAGGAGTAAAAGTAATTGAAAACTGAAACTAACTTTGGATTGTTTGAACTGTGTTTAAAAGAGGACATTATTGACTAATATAAATAGAAACTGTTTTCCCCTAGTGGAAGCCTTTGAAACTGGTTGCTTTATAAGAGCTGGACTAGGGGAATTTCCAGCTGCAAGATAAAAAACTGTGAGACTCTGGGACTGACCTTGAATCTTTTAAGTGTTATGGCAAATGGAAAGGAAAAAACAGACCAGTCAACTGCTGAAAAAACATTAAGGTCTGGGAGGAATTGGCAGCAATCCAGGAGAGGCTCAACATCAGGTCCCCCTGCTTCTTCTGCTGCTGCCTCTGCACCAGCACACTCAAAACCAAGAGGAATGTCGACAGAAGAGGCCTTAGCGGTTCTATTACATAAGATAAATGATTCACTGGAACAGCTTCACAAGAAAATAGACGTGATAAATGCGAAAGTGGATGTTGCAATTACTAAAATCGACTTAAATACAGAAAGTATAAACAATACCAATACAGAAACCACCCAGAAATTGATACAGGAATCTACTTTGATACCGCAAACTGCGGAGGAAGCCAGGGAGAAAGCCGTTGCTGCTGAATGTAAAGTAACACAACTGGAGAGAGAGAGAGAGTACCAGCCCTACAGAGGCAACTTGATGAACATAAGTTGACGCTTGCTATGATTGAACTTAAAGAAAAACAGACGAATCTGAGGATTAGAGTTCACCTTTGGTGGACATGCCCAAGGATTAAGACATTCTGGGAGATGATTTATAACGAAATGAAAAAGGTATTTAAATATACCCTCCTGAAGAAACCAGAGGCCTTTCTCCTGGGCATGGTCGGCCAATTGGTGTTAAAGAAGGATAGAATTTTTTTTACGTATGCAACAACAGCAGCAAGAATACTCATCGTGAAGTATTGGAAGACACAAGATTTACCTACCCGGGAAGAATGGCAGATGAAGTTGATGGACTATATGGAACAGGCAGAAATGACTGGCAGAAATCCGAGACCAGGGAGAAGAGTCGGTGGAAGAAGACTGGAAAAAGTTTAAAGACTATTTACAGAAATACTGTAAAATTAATGAATGTTAGAAGAATGTTGGAATGAAGTTATATGGCTTTAGTAGAAATGTTATAAGGAATTAAGTATAAATAGATTAATAGAATATTAAAGGAAAAATAAGGTTAGAATGTGTTAAGATAATTATAGGATAGAAAACAGAGGAAGATGGAAAGGAATTGCTGAAACAATTAATAAAGTGGAATACAAAAAGGGAGGTGTGAGGAGGTCGTTGAAATAAGTGAATGAAGGATGGGATATTGAAGTTGTTTGATGTGTTTTGGATTGTTTTTGTTTTGTTTTGTTAATGTGTTGGTGTTGTGTGGTGTTTGTGTGTTGTATTGTACTGTACTTTTTTGTGTATTGTTTAAATTGTTGGAAAAGCAATAAATATTATTATTTTTTTTAAAAAAAGCAGGTTACAATGAGCCTCAGACTGAGGTGAAGCACTGAACTGAGGTCCAAATTCCATCTTGGGGGTAGTGCATGTTTCTTGATGGAGCATCAAGAAGAAATAAGCCAATTAAATGAGGAAAAACAACCAGGAACCCTCAGTTCCCAGACTTTTAGGGCAGCTGGAGTGGAAGCAAGATCTCCTAGCAGAACTCTGCAGACTCACTGTCTCTGGAAGCCTAGCGAATGGCTGCTTCTGAGATAATAATAATACTAATAATACTAATAATAATTTATTTATACCCTGCCCATCCAAACCAGATCTTATGGGAATGACCTGTACCCTCTTGTTTTTGTCCTCATTAGATTATTGGGAAAGTCCTTTTAATAGTCAGAACACTCGAGAAGAAGACTTCTTTGTGGATGAGCAAACAACAGTGAAAGTTCCCATGATGATCAAAGACAGCACTTTTAAGACGTACTATGATGAAAGTCTGTCCTGTGAGGTGGTGCAGCTCCCTTACAAAAGCGGTGCCATAGCATTCTTCATTCTGCCTGATCAAGGGAAACTGAAGCAAGTGGAGGATGGTCTGAACAGAGACGTCTTGCTAAAATGGATGAAATCAGTGAGGCAACAGTAAGTCTGTGCGCTCTACCAGACAAATCACCACAAAGGGGGCATTACACCTGGAACAAGCAGGACTTTAATAGCCATTCCTGCTCACTGGGTGACCTGAAGCAAGTCCGCATCTTTCAGCCTCAGAGCTGTTATTATCTTGTATGATTAAATAACAGGGAGCAGAACCCTTTATTCCACCCTGATCTCTGTGGAAGAAAAGCAAAATCCATCAGTGCTAATAAGCCCACATCTCTTGAACAGATGTTTTCTGATTCTAGAGCGAAATGCTTACAATACAGATTCAAGTCCTTATTCAATGTGTCCATGGAACATGATACAATCTAGGGCTTCCTGTTCTCTTCACAGAGAACAGAAAATGCAAGCTACTGGACAACACTTCCCTGTTCTTTGGCGGCGGCGGGGGGGGGGGAATACACCCAACCTTTTATTTCATAAGTACATCGTAACAAATTACAATATAATTAATATTTAAAATATTAGATTTAGCGAGCATTAAAATTACTCTCGTGTGTGTGTGTGTGTGTGTGTGTGTGTGTGTACTAACCTTAGGCTGGTTATATAAGTATATATTCAATAGGCACAAAAGAGGTTCTAATGGAGTTTACTATTCAAAGTTCTCATTGAGTACAGGTGTTACCATCTGCTAGTACTGCTTGAAAACAAACCCAAAGATGTCATGTACAGTGGACACAAATAGTGCGCACGCCTGGTATAAGTAGGAAGACACACTAGGACCACAACTTTATTAACATTTAAGAGAGGAAACCTGCCATGAACACTTAATTACAATGTGGGGGAGGGGGGAATGAGGCCACCTAGTGACCTCCTCCATCCCTCTTGTGGTGGATCAGCTTAAGCTTCAGTTCAGAGACTGAAAAGTAGCTACTTGGCCAATTATTAATCTTCCCAACCATGCTTAAAGTTCTCTAATCCCAAAGTCTCATCTCCCCTGAATTGTCTATGATAGTCCTTTTCACCTTCTTGGCATCTCTTCATTACCCAGACTGCCCCGTTAGCTGCAATCAGTTATTCATGGGAAGGACCATAGCTGAGTCACAGAACACATGCCTTGCATGCAGAAAGCCTCAGGCCTCATCTCAAGGCAGGGCTGGATTTCATGGCCTTTGTCTGAAATCTATGAGAACAGCAACCAGTCATGGTAGACCAGGAATGGCCCATCCTGTTTCAATGCCTGAGGCAAAATGGGAAGGTGCTTTCCCACAGCTGTCTTGACACCAAAACCCACCCCCACCCCCTGCGAAACCTTCCTTATCTGAGTTCTAGTTAGCTCTCAAAAGATCTTGGCGAAAGCTGCTGACACTGCTTCCATCTCTTCTCCGTCGGTGGCAGGGTGGGTACAGCGCCCACAAGGGGACCACCTCTTGGGTGCCACTGCCCAATGCAGATGCTTCAGCCCATTGCATGGGCAGGCTGGCCCTGTTGTCAACAATACTAGGCTAAGAGGGCCAATGGTCTAAATCAAAAGAAGAGTCCTATTTTTTTATCCCTGATTTGTCCCTTAGAAAACACTGCAAAGTAAATAAATTCACCCATGGATTGGCAGTGAAACCAAAAGAAAACCTGCCCTGAAATAAAACTCAGGGGAGTGGTCTACATTTCTATGCAGCCTGTTTGTGATAATCTAAGCCTGTACTGCATTCTGGATCGGTGGGCTGGTTCAAGCAAACAGCAACTGTGTATTGAGGCTGTAGATGGGCTGTTTGTCTCCTTTGGCACCACATAGGGAGAATTGCTCCCACTACCACCACTGATGCACTTAGCATCTGAGAGAAGGAACAGTAGTCACATACAAAATGTTATATTCAGCAGAGGTCTATGTGTGCTTAAATCCACCATATTGACTCCATTCCTCTGACTGAAACATAATAAAAGTTGGGGGAAATGTTTAATCCAAAAGGAAATACACATTTTTAATTTAAAGCTGTGTGAATATTAGGTAGCATTTTTACACTGTTGTGCTTATTTTTACAACTTTAGCCTTGACATTTTTTATCTAGCCAAACTGTAAAGTGTCTACAAATTGTGTCATCTAAACATTTTCTAAGAGTGAAATCTTAATAGCCTCTGATTCTACTTTCAATAGGAGAATAGTACTTCACCTTCCAAAGTTAATGATTCGTGGACGCTATGATCTTATAGAGATACTAAGTAGAATGGGTATAACTGAATTATTCACAGACCAAGCAGACCTCTCTGGAATTACTGGGAAGCCTGAGGTGAAGGTTACTAAGGTAGGTTTATCAAAATTCAACATAGTGTAAGAATTGAACGTAAGACTCCACATTGATATGTTGCTTTCTGGGTCAGATATATATTTGAGGGTTCAAATAAAGTTGAGGTTTAGAGTACTTGAATGTGGCACCACACATGGAGATCGTTCCCTTGTAAGCAAAATTCATGTGCACAGTGTCTTCTACATGAAAACAAATACAACTTAAGATACACTTGTGCAATTTTTCACGTGTGGAAGAGTGCTCACATTTCCTTCCATCCAGAATTCATCTCAATAGATGAAAAAATCATGTGTGAAGCAAGTCTAAGATATGATCTCTAATAAGGCAAGGCTGTCCAGGCACCCTGCTCCTCAGGCTTCTATACAATACCCACAACTCTTTAAAATGCTGCGCTGACTCTGTGTTGGGAGCAGCATAGGGCTCATTGGTGTCATGGGACACAGACCATTGGAATCACACATCATTAAGGATCATTTTGGAGAGGAGAGATCATAAGGAAACCTTGTCAGTTTCTTCCTCCAGGCTAACAGGTGCAAGATGACACTTTACACACACACATGATTGGTTGGGAGGGTGAGATCAAGAGATCACGAGAGTAAGAAGTGACAAAGTCGACAAAGACTTTCAATGGATTCCTCTGAAGGAGCAGGAGTCTCTCATATACTTAACTCTGGGTCACTGTCTGTACTAATGTTTGTTTGCTTTCTTTACAGGCTATTCACCAAGCTTATTTAAATGTCCATGAGAATGGCACTGAAGCTGCAGCTGTCACTTTTATTGAAATTGGACCTACGTCCCTCCCACCTGAAATTAAACTAAATCGCCTGTTCATGTTCTTAATTATGGACTGGCTTACTGAGGCCATCTTACTCTTCGGGAAAGTTGCAGATCCCACAAAGAACTAAGAAGTCACCTAGTGCTCTTCCTGCAGCGCTGGCAGTTGGGTGCCGCTTAAATATATAGCATGCGTGAAAAGATACTTAGATTTCATTTACTATGCTTGGGCTGACACTATCACACCTTCTAAAACAAATCAAATGCTGATGTGATACACGGAAATCTATTAAAGCATTTTGTGTTTCTTTCTGCAGCAGAAAACGCATAACCCAAAAGATGCATGCTAACCAGTGTGCGGTGCATATCATCCCTAAGATCGCAGTCTTGAAAAACATGTTATTAATTGGATGAAAGGAGTATGATCTTGACAGCAGCATCTCAGTCACTGTATGACAAGTTTGTAGATCAGAGGAAGGACAGCAGTGCCATCAAATATTCCCTGTTCCTCTATGCCAGGGAAGATGAACCTTAGGCCATGGGGCTGAATGTAAGCCTCTGAGATCCTTTCTATCTGGTTCTTGGGACTCTCCCAAGGTCACACTCTCTCCGAAGCCACACACCCTACCAGATCTCCTTTGTACCTTCCTTTAATGGTTTGGACTGGCTGGAATGTGCCCTTATATGTCTTATAGGGTCTTTTTCTTCCTTTGTTGGAGGATAAAGAGAGGACCGCTCACCTTTTCCAGTGGGTGGCATTGCGGCTGGGCATCCAATAGTGGGCACCCAATAGTGCTCCAGCGCGGGGGCAGAGTTCGGCACCCCCTTCATGCGTATCCCTGGCCACATTGTCAGAGTTGGGTGGGGCCATGCCCAGCTGGTCCTGTTGGGCAATCAGCACTGGTGATGGGCAGGAGATTCACCCATGCCCCAGACACACCACGGTTAAAAGTGGGGTACAAACTAGCCTACTGTAAAAAGACAAACCTTGCATTCATTTCTCTACCCACTTTCGTCTCTGGCCCTGTGCCCTCCACCACTGAGAGAACCCCAAAGGGGATTCAGCCCTTGGGAGATAAAGTTTTCCCACCTTTGTTTTATGGCTCTCGAAGTATGCCATCTGGTAATTGGTCTAATATATTTAATCTCCACTTGCACACCATGAGCTATAGCTTATTCTTTCAAGCTAAGCCATTGGGGTGGGGGCAGAAGCAAACAAACAACTCTCCAAGCTTAGGTCTTCAGTCCACTGGCTGGTTCCCTCCTTGCTCCCCTACAGGACTCCAACAATCTAGTTTCCCCTCTAGAGAAATTAATAAAAATTTGTGGCACAGCTGATATGAAACTTTGAGCATGCAAACTAAAACAGAGAAGCAAGAAACTAACGCACACATGCAGTGGAGTGGGGTGGGAACAATGGGACTCCAAGAGACATTAGCACAAACAAAATGAGAGAAAACAAATGGAATGAAGGATGAATGATTAAGATACATAGGTGTTTGTTGTGGGTGGGTGGACTGGAAATGAGGACGGTCAGGCTGAGAAGGAGGACGGTCAGGCTGCAACAGTCGGGAGGACTTTAAGACCCTGGGGAAGCCAGCTGATGGAAAAGACTCAATCTATCTTGCTGATGGTCATAGAAGCAAGATTGATGGTCAAGGAACATGTTTCCTGCAGTGCTTGAACACTACTCTACCAGAGACTCTGTTTGTCAGCAGTTTGGACTATTGTTTACTGTCTGTAAGCTGTTTGATTAAAGCAGGGTATAGTGTTAAGTTCACGCAGGATGGCTGTCTGATAAAGAATGGAACTCAGGTATGTGGCCATGCAAAGTTGGAAAATGGGTTATATGTAATGCAGGACAAGCCTGTTAAAGCAGCTCAGGTGGTTCAGGATAATTTGCCAGTTCATAAGGGGTGTGTACATGAACTGCACAGAAAACTGGGTCACGCCAATTTCCGTGTGCTTTCAGAGATGCAAAAGGTGTGCAAGAACCTAAAAGTAAATAGCTGTAATTGTTTCCTAGATTGCAATGTATGTAAAATGGCCAAATCTAAGAGGAAGCCTGTGACTTCTAAAAGTGACAGAGTATCTAAAGAGGTTTTAGAACTTGTCCATTGTGACGTGATAGGCACTTTTCCTCAGAAGACTGAAGGGGGCGCCAGATATGCTTTTCTGGTAATAGATGATAAATCACATTTTAGTTGGCTGTTTTTGTTAAAGCAGAAATCTGAGTGTTTCCCCACATTCAGAGAATGGGTTGCCCAAGCTGAAAAGCTCTTCGCTCGCCCTGTTGTGCAGTTGCAAACAGATAGGGGCAGAGAATTTCTGAACAAACAATTTGGGACATGGTTGCGACGTAAGGGGATCACTCACCGTTTGACTAACCCTTATAGCCCTGCTGAAAATGGTCTGTGTGAAAGATGTGGGGCTGTAATACAGTCAGTAAAGGACTGCCTGCTAGTGGATGCAGGATTGGGTCACAACCATAGGCTGTGGGGCGAGGCTTTTCTGACCGTGAATTTTTTGATTAATAGAACCTGGTCTAGCTCTATAAAAGATATTCCTTATCGTGTGTTGTTTGGGAAAGAACCAGAGTGGACAATGCTCCATAACTGGGGTGCTTGGGCACATGTAAATATCCCCAAAGCTCAGCGCCAGAAAGGGGGCGCTAGAGCGCAGAAACTGCGGTTTGTGGGATATCAGTCCTATGGCAAAGGGTGGCGTTTCAATTTATGCCCAGGACGCGTGATTCTGTCACAAAGTGCAGACTTCGCTGACCAGGACAGATGGACTGCGATCTATGCCAACCCAGATTGCCTACTGCCCCTGCAAGTAAGAGAAGAGGCTTCTTCTCAGCCATTGGCAACACAGGAGCAGGATGAGGAGGAGGCACAGATTTCCCCAAAGGATGTGGCAATAGATAATACTTCTCCAGAGGAAGAGGAAGAATTGTTAGGCCGAATTGCTGTGATAAAAATGAATGTGTTGCCAAGGATGTTGTTTTTGTTTCAAACATTGCAAATTTTGGATAAGATGGATTGTTTTAAGAAGTGGCAGAAATATATTTCCAGATTTGTTTGGCAGGGCAAGAAGTCCCGAATAAAATTTAAGATATTAACTGATGCCAAAGAAAGAGGTGGATTTGCCCTGCCAGACCTTAAACTCTATTATGAATCAGCTGCTTTTTGCTGGCTGAGAGAATGGCTGCTTCTTGAAAACACTGATGTGCTGGATTTAGAAGGTTTCAACAATGCATTTGGCTGGCATGCATATTTGTGGTACAATAAGGTAAAAGCACATAAAGCGTTTAAAAATCATATTCTTAGAAAAGCATTGTTTAATGTTAGGATAAGATATAAGAATTTGTTAGAAAAGAAAACCCCAAGATGGTTGTCACCAATGGAAGCGAAGGCACAGAAAAAACTAAATATGGAGGCCAAATGGCCGAAATATTGGGAAATTCTGGAACAAGATGGAGACAGAATAAAATTGCAGAGCTTTGAAAAATTGAAAAATAAAGTGCGAGATTGACTCCATTATTATCAAATAATGGAGGCATACAATTTGGACAAAAAAGTTGGTTTCCAGGTGGAAAAATCAAAATTGGAAACAGAATTGTTAGATCCAAAAATTAAGAATTTGTCAAGAATGTATAACTTGCTGTTGAAATGGAACACTCAGGATGAAACGGTGAAATCAGCTATGATTAAATGGGCACAAGATGTTGGACATAATATCATGTTTGCTGACTGGGAACAGTTATGGACCACAGGTATGAAGTTTACGGCATGTAATGCCCTAAGAGAGAATATTATGAAAATGATATACAGGTGGTACATGACCCCAGTCAAGCTTGCAAAAATCTATCATTTGCCCGACAATAAATGCTGGAAATGTAAAGAAACTGAAGGTACATTCTTTCACCTTTGGTGGACGTGCCCAAGGATTAAGGCTTTCTGGGAGATGATTTATAATGAAATGAAAAAGGTATTCAAATATACCTTCCTGAAGAAACCAGAGGCCTTTCTCCTGGGCATGGTCGGCCAATTGGTGCTAAAGAAGGACAGAACTTTTTTTATGTATGCAACAACAGCAGCAAGAATACTCATCGCGAAGTATTGGAAGACACAAGATTTACCCACCCGGGAAGAATGGCAGATGAAGTTGATGGACTACATGGAATTGGCGGAAATGACTGGCAGAATCCGAGACCAGGGAGAAGGGTCAGTGGAAGAAGATTGGAAAAAGTTTAAAGAGTATTTACAGAAATACTGTAAAATTAATGAATGTTAGAAAAATGTTGGAATGAAGTTATATGGCTTTAGTAGAAATGTTATAAGGAACTAAATATAAATAGATTAATAGAGTATTAAAGGAAAAATTAAGGTTGGAATGTGTTAAGATAATTATAGGATAGAAAACAGAGGAAGATGGAAAGGAATTGCTGAAACAATTAACAGAAGTGGAATACAAAAGGGAGGTGTGAAGAGGTCGTTGAAATAAGTGAATGAAAGATAAGATATTGAAATTGTTTGATGTTGATTTGATGTTGTTTGATGTTGTTTGATGTGTTTTTTGTTCTGTTTTCTTAGTTTAATGTGTTAGTGTTATGTAGTGTTTTTGTATTGTATTGTTTTTTTTGTATTGTTTAAAATGTTTGAAAAGTAATAAATATTATTTTTTATTTAAAAAAAGAAAGTTCTGATCTTAGGCTGGCAGGTTTCTTGATACTTGAACATAAAGTACCGTATTTTTCGCTCTATAAGACGCACCAGACCACAAGACGCACCTAGTTTTTGGAGGAGGAAAACAAGAAAAAATATTTTCTGAATCTTAGAAGCCAGAACAGCAAGAGGGATCACTGCACAGCCTGCATTCGCTCCATAAGACACACACACATTTCCCCTTACTTTTTAGGAGGGAAAAAGTGAGTCTTATAGAGCAAAAAATATGGTATAAGGTCCAATTTAAAGAATTTCCTATGGAAGCTTTAGAACTCAAACTAGTTTACAATTGGTTTTATACTGAACTGCAAGCTGAAAGCATTGTATTAACAGAAGGGCTATGTTAAGCCGCCTTGAGCATGGTTTGAACTGTGCAAAGGTGGGATACAAATACAACTATGCAT